AAAGCATCGATGTGACTCATTATACAATCTGAGAAGAGCCTGAGAGAAAGCTTAATCGGGCTAATAGTTTCTAGTACGTCTGTTAGCAAATTCAAGATCCATCAGATCAAACAGGAATGGCGAATTCACATAAGCTTTTATCATTTTAGAGACGAAACTAACGCATAATACTTTTTATGTCTTATTTGTAAAGATGGTTGGTTAAGCAGTTTTTAAGCATGTGTTTATACAACGACTTTTTAAAACGATAAAATCTTATATTGGAAGTGGTCGAGAAAGAGGTCGCCTTGGGACAAAATATGTCGGCATACCAAATTTCATCAAAATATCTCAAAATCTTGTGTCCTGTAAGCTGAAAAGACAAGAATACAAGACGAATATAATCGCAAAGGGAACAACGGACACACTAACTTAACTAGTGACACTGAAACGCCATCGGCATCGATGGGTGTTGCTTATATCCGCACGAATTTAATTTATCCTTGTACCGCAAACGGTACACGGTATAAAAATGTAATAATAATAATATATTTCATATTTGTATTATCTCTTTCTTTTTATGGATATATAAAAGGAAAAATTGAAATAGAAAATATATACATAATTTGATAAAAGAATGAAACATTTTCCTTTTTAAAAAAAATATATATATATATAAATATATATATATATATATATATATATATTTCATGAATAAAATGCTGTTATTGGAAGTTGGAAGTGTTAAGTATGCGAACGCGTCTAGCTTTCGCAATTTTGCATTGATTCACACTTGCTGCGAACCGTAATGATTTCAAAGACTCGTTAAAGCAATCTTGGAAAGGAGCCACATTAATGAAAAGAAGCGTTTTCGAGTGACCACCGAGGGAAGGCATCAATAAATGCGTTAGCTTAGAGTTACGATAAGGTATGTGATCCTGTTTTTGTAGAAGAGCCAAGATGACATTTGTAAGCTCCGATAATGATCGATTAATATTCTTAGTTTCGTTCAAGCGCATGCTTGTCTTAAGTGATTCCGAGCCAGCTAAATCTACTAAATTAATTGAACCGATCGATGTGCAATGTTTCTCTGCATGAGAGCCAATTAATTCAATATTTGTAATTGCATGGGATCGCGAAGAACGTTCGTTACCCGCGGTAGCGGCTGTTGCCCGATTCATTTTAGCAATTCTCATAAGTTGACGTAAGCGATCGGCGTTCTCAACAGTCTCTTGGGTTATATTTGAGATATATATGCCATTCTTCTCGCTCCTCGTCATACGAATTTCCAATTCTTTTGGTTCATTATCCAATAAATCATACAAGACTTCATTATAGATTTCTAAAAATTGAACTTTGATCTGATATTGCCAGCCAAGATTACGATAAGCTTTTATGGAATCAAATAGCAAATCTATCGTCCGCAATATCACACCAGGATTTCCGATTGTACCGTCCATAGTAAAAGTTTTACCACTGCCTGTTTGACCATAAGCGAATACACACACATTGTAACCGTCCAAAGCTGATTGAATTAAAGGTGCAACTAATTGAAAAATGTCTTCTTGTTTGCTCGACTGATGAAATACTTGATCGAAACTGAAGCTATGACCTTTGTTCTTAGCCTTAATCAATGGATCACAATTAAAGATTTCCAAAGTACTTTCGTCGACATAATTCCATCCACACAATAGTTTATGTCGTTCAAAATCGAGAGGTGGCCGAACTCTGCAAAATATACGGATATTACCATGCGAATCCATCACAGCATTGTGCAACTCTTTCCGCTCCACATTCGAACGAAAGAGTTGCTCCTTGCATATCGCAATACTCTCCATTAATTTGAAGTTTTTATCTACCAAATCTGCGGATTGTTCTCGCACTTTGGGCACTTCAATGCTAAGCTCATCATGCTCGCGTTGCAGTTTTTTATAGGCTCGCTTAAGTTTCTCAAATTCGCCGGTAATACTAGTTAACGAATCGGTTAACAATTCAATATTTTGTTGCTGTGATTTTACTTGCCGTTGAAGATATTCTTTTTCAGTTTTCGTATTCTTCAATTCTTCCGTAGTACTTGCTAAATGTGACTGTACTTCTTTGAATTGTTCCGGTAGCGTTTCCAACTTTCCTACTTGTTCACATTTTTCTTCGAATTTTTCTTTTAAGGCTTTATGCCTTTCTAACAAATGATTATAACGAGCCTTAAAATCATAGGGAGGAATACGCTTGTTGACCACTTTTCCAGCACAAGTAGTGGATACGGAAGTAGCATTAACACTGGTCTCTGATCTTGTAAAATTTGCATCTGCTACCGTAGAATTGACACCGGCTGGTGTTGCTCGCCTTACAGGAGGTACTTTGGATGTTTGCCCTGTCACACAATTCGTAATACTTGAATTATATGTTCCGATCCGTGTTGGACAATTTGCCGGTTTCCATATGTGACTAGCAGAGGAAGGTTGAGTTAAACGTGACAATTTCGCTGGTATGGTAAGACGCTTCATCGATTTCAAATCTGAGACTGAACGACTTCGTCTTATTTTTATATTTTGGACGCCTCTGCATTGGAGCCGGCAATGCAAATTACATATCTATCCTTTTATCTGGTTGAAGCTCCGATATTGAATAGTCGCTCAAAAGTTTATCTGCTTAAGGTTAAGTTTGGATAGAGAAAGTTTAAAGATCGTAATGATATCGCAAAAATATTTGCAGCTCGAAGACATACACTACACCTGCAGGTATATTTTATCCACTTTTGCATTAATCCTAAATTTAAAAAGAAAGTAATAAAATACAAAATTCATTTTTCCGAATCGAAGATAAACCATAAATTCATAAAATCATACTTCAAAACCAATAAGGTCCGACCCATCCGCTGTTATAGTTCTAAAACCTTTCAAATTTCGTTAAATTATTTTTTTTCAAGTCGCTGATCACTAGTAAATAGCAACTACGATATTGACCTTAACAGTGAGTTTGTGCCTATCTTTATTCGGCTTTCTAAAAGCGCTTATTTTTCGTTATTATTATATTCCCCTTCGTCTGCGTTACTATATTCTTTTTTTAATATTTATTTTATTATGTATATTTTCGTTAGAAAAATATATTTTTCAAGTTCGAGTAACAAATAATTATGACGAATATTGTCAAACACTTTTGTATACGTCTAACATCAACAGAAGCAACCCTATTGGAATGGCTTGTATGAGCTTGCCGTGTGCTCAGTGTTTTCGCTTTCTCTTTCTCAACCAAATTATTGAATGAATTGAACGATCCCTTGGCAGGATTTGGTGTAAAATAAATAGATAGGGGGAAGTCTATAATTTGATACTTTTGGATTTTGAATGCCAATAATTAATATTACTAGCAAGTGTCTAAATTAAATGTCTAGCAAGGGTTAACGTTACTTTCTCTTGCAACGATAGGATTATAGCTTCGGGTCTTTGTTAATTTCAGCCGAAATTTGTTTTGTTTACCCATTGCTCGTTTAAGTGGAAATTCCTTAAGCGTAGATTAACTATTCCAGAAAATAATCATCAGCTTGACTACTTCCTCAACTAATTCAGCGCTTTGAAAAGCATCAAAATTACACAATCACAATTCTCTCCCGTTCTTAATTGCTCTTCGCAGTGAAACTCCAACCCAAATCCAACGCGACTTCGTATTTCATTGCCGTAGAGATTGCCTTTGTCGTAGCAAGTGTCCAGTCGGCAAAGGTATAACGCTTACCGATTGAACACACGCCCACTAATTTATCTAAAGCTAAAATTGTAGCTTGAAATCTCAAATGTTATTAATTTAAAAAACATTCAATGAGTACAATTTTATTCCATCAGACGGACGGATGGACAAAAATGCTTAAATCTGTCCAGAAAATGATTATAATTAAAGGTGGTGCTACCTTAAACTCCCCTGAATGTTACATGTACTCGGAAAAATGTGATATAACATAGTAATAATAAATAATAATAACTCCTTAATTTGTTCGGAGTTATGTCGCAAAGAAAATAACCTTTTCTTAGGTAATTTGTAATTCTGAGAGAGCTAACACTGTCAGATCCTTGCTACCCGCCGAAAATTGGTGGCAAAATATTCTAAAACTAATAGTAAGTAAGTATTATTATTATTATTATAATTAATTTAAGCAGAGAAACAAGTTCTAAGACTAGAGTCTTAAAGCAATAGCATCTAAGGCGATCGGCTTTATTCAACACTCCTAACGTGACGCCTAACGTGAGATTTGCACCAACGAGGATTGCGTTCTTAGTCGAGACTGTTTGCTAAACCGGTCACTTAGGCGGATAAAAAATAGTAAATAGCATTGCATTATTGGATTCGGACTTAAAGTACAGAAAAAGATTTCAATATTTTAAGTAATCTTTTCTTTCGAGAAGCGATTTATGTTATACATAAATGGAAACGAAGCACTAGCCTCTTGAGGTGAACAAAAACAACAAAAATTGAATAATATAAGGCCGAATTGAAAATGGAAATAATTTCGGAGAAGACCGCGTTTCCGGAGCTTGCTTGTTCTATCTAAATTGAATCATTTAATTGGTTATACATACACCGATGACGTCAAAAACGAACGAGAAGCCCAAGAAAATTGCAAAGCATCAACCCAAAATGCAATGGTATCGTTTTCTTGTTTCGTATCGCATAATAGCTCAATAAGGAGAACTGTTAACCAATTCCTGAAATTACACTTATTTAATCTGCTACATAGTATATATATATAAAAATAAGCTTGTGGTGTATGCAAGTCCAACTGTGTCGGTTCACAGAACAGGTTGCGTCTATGGCAAGCGGGATAAGAGAATAGGGGAAACTGCGTAGGTACTGCATCTCTGACAGCAAGAAAATAAGCCAATGTGCAGGGATAAGATTATGGTTCTCAATCGTAATTTGGCTGTGTTAGTCGGCAGCAAGTTCATGATTGAAAGACTTTTCGTTCGCTAGTAAGAGAAATTCATATTTTATCGAGAATCGTAAACTCAATACTCGTTACAGATATTGACTTTATCCCGACATCGAGATGCATGAATCAACCATTCGTTCCTTTTCCCAGTAGCGAATAAGTGATACGAACTGTCTATTCTTCTGATGTTATCATCGTTCTTCCTCTTCTTTCCCACCGCATTCGTATGAAATGGATGAGATGTTAAAATGACTTATATTTTGCTTATAGATACAAATGCTTCATTCTACACATCCTATCCTATGTTCAGGATAACATTGAAAATTCAATTTTAACGCAGATGCTATTTATGTTAAAATCACATTTATTAAATAAAATCACTAAAATAAAATTAAAGCACATGGATATGTGTATGATATTAATAATGGACTTTTATATAAATATAATGAAAATATTATTTAAAAAAGTATAATTGAATTATAAAAATTTCTTAAAATAACAAAAGGTGAAGTAATTATTCTCTCTTTCATAAATAAGTTTTTTTTTATTTTTAATATTATGTATATAAATAAATGTAGAATATATAGGCGCGTAAATAAAATACTTATTAAAAAAATGTTTGACATCGTTAATCTCTAATTGTAAAGATCATTAAAGTTTGATAGATAAGGAATTGTGTGTGTGTGGGTGTCGTCTCGTAGGTTTAAAGTGATTTGAAGATCTCGTTTTCCAGATACATGTATCCTTTTTGCACATTTTTACATTTTTTTGATGTGGATGTTATGTGCTTTTAATAAACTACTATGCGTTCATAATACTACTTAAATATATTATATGTATATATATATATATATATGTATATATATATAGGTTGGAATTTGTTTCTAAATTTTTCTTAATCTGTACAATAAAAAAATTTACTAAAATCGAATGACGGAAAAACATCAAACTAAGATATATAAATTTCAAAATGCCAATCATTTAAAATGAAGACAATATTCGAATGTTCAAGCTTTTTAAAACATATTAAAACAACTGTACATAGATTTTAGAGTGCATAACGTTAAATTGCGAGCAAGCAATTATGAAATGTTTTTAGTAAGTTTCAGATGCAGATGTATGGGTGGGAAGCACTGTAGCTTGAAAACCACAATTTTTCATCGACTTCCTCTTGGCATAGCAACCCGAGCGAGAGAATACAAAAGTGTAAACTTATAAAACTTATATCGAAAGTGGTAATATTTATATAATTCAGGTTTTTTTTTAGCGTCGAGTTTTCCGTTACGGTCCAAATACTGGAAGATTTCCGACTATTAAAGGGTAGTAAGTGTTACGGTACTAACACCATGCACCAGTATTGTTGGCGGCATATCAGCGGTTAGCTCTGTTAATAATTCAATATAACGCGCACTAAGTTCATTGAAGTTGGGATGATCAACTTTAGGTGGAGCAGCAAGGTAAATAAAGGATACCGCCGTTTGATCAGAGCGCTCTCGTAAAATCTTATTTACCCTATAAACAAAATCAAAAAAAAATTATTAAGCAAATAAAAGTTATTCTTTGCGGGATTTAAGTCAAAATATTGCGAATGTATACGAGAAATTGAGATAAACTCACTTTTTATTATACCTAAGCTTGTCTGCCCGTCAGTTCGTCCGATATGTCGATCGTAAATTTTAAGGTACTTTGATGAAATTTTCGTACATTACGTGCAATGGCACAAGAACGAACACTATCGAAATTGATTCAGATCGGGTCATTTTCTCGACCAGGTCCCGTATAATGCTTTACTTTGAAAATTTATTCTATGTATAACTGTACTAAGCCATGGGCCGCTGTAATATTCTATTTATAAAACAACATTAGCGTAGTGCCTCCGTTTCTACGTTTAAGAAAGCGTCAAACATTCATGTTCGCCGGTTATGAAGTCAAACGTTTAAACTAGTTCGCTTAACGTCGCGTCCGCAGTAAACAGAAAACCCTATTAAGCAACATATAGCAAACATGGATTTTCGGTTTGATCCTAAAATGTATTCCACACACAGGCTCAACTGAAATGTAGTTAGATAGGACAAATGAAGCACTGCCAATTCGCAAACATTTTCCCATTTTCTAAACTCTTAACACACTTCACTATGAAACAATATACTTTAGGGCACGGAAGCCTTCAAGATCTTGGGAAATAGGCAACGCTTTTTACAAACAAATATCTGTCTAAAATTTGAAATCAACAGTTGTTTTGGTTCATGGTCAGATTCACAAATACATGAAAAATTTTCATTGCTCGAAAAAATGCTTTTAAAAAACGCAGTTTTCGTACTTGGGCGTTTCAAAAATTACTTATAACGGCACTGGAGTTAAATGTTAAATCACTTTTGTCCTACTAACCTCTGCATGTACAATAAGGAACGATTTAAGTTTTCTTCACTTAAGATGTCACCCGAATGCTCAGCTTGGCTAATAAAGTGCTTTAGTAAACGAGAATGACGACTAAACTCAGTATCACGCGCCCAATCTTCAATCTGCAAAAAAAAAAATAGAAAAAATTAAAATTTTAGAAACATATATGCATGGAAAATGCTGGAAGTCTTCTTCTACCTCTAAGATATCCGCATTAATTCTTAAACTCTTTAAAGATTGTTCAAGTTTTGTACGATTAAAAATTTCCATTTGAGGAATAGTATCATCATGAGTTTCAAAGGTAGTACTATTGGTATTGTTTGTTTCACATAGAAAGACGCGCAAACGCAAATGCTTCCATTTCGCCAACATGTTAATGATAACAGCTAATTGCAGCATAAACAATGAAACAACATCGAAGGGGTCCTCGGTTTTAGGATTGAAAACATTAATGGGCCACACATCAATATATTTAATATGTTTACTTCTAAAATATGAAAAATTTCTTTAATATTATTTACATAAGGTTTAATTAAAGTTTTACTTACTTGGTTATAAAATCTTTATCTAAACGATGAAAATGCCGACATAAACATAAGTTTTTTTTCATACGCAAAATATCACTAAGAATTGAAACATATTCCTTCATATCGATTTGTTTGGTTTCACCATCACGTCGAATAGGAAAGTCGGGCAAGCCGCTTATATTGAATCCATCCGTTTTGTAAGGGGAAGTACCACTAAAGAAAGAAAACAATACTAGAAAAAAACCTTTGCCAGAAGCGAAAGCTTTAAAAAACTAACGTTTGGAAGAAGTCCTTCGGAGTTTCACTGTCATAGAAACCCAAAATAATTGTATTTGGTTTCATAGCTCCAATACCTGATAGTAAAAAGCGTATGTATATATAAGAAAATGTCGATCTAATTAGATGCACACATCCCTGCAATTGCTTACCAGACAGACGTATTAAATGCTGTACACCTTCTCGTATAGAACTGGCGTAAGTGATTTCTGTAAAAGCTTTCACACGCATATGGTCTACATATAAAAGCCAACGCTTATTTTCCTCAACATCATCATCATCGCCGACCTTAACGTGACCGATAACGTAAAGACCACCCTTTTTTAAGTCATTAATAAAATCCACTAATGGGCAACAGGAGCGTGGCGAAGAGACCAAGAGTAACATTTGCGGACGCCAAAATTTTACATGATCTTTACGCGGATCCAGCATTAACAAATATTTTCGTACCTAAATGTAAATATAAATATAAATCAAATTATGTGTATAACGATTCAATTTTATTAATTTTACCTGATGAAACATTAATGCCTGAGATATGGAGCCCCATTGTGCCGCTTGCGTCGCTGGTGAAAATAGATGCAATGCAATAACTAACAGTAAACACAATATTATGCTCAGCGAAGCGTAAATTGGATTAATAACGAACATCATTATTAGTGTGCCTAGTAAGCCAAACAAGCACGTATGCCAAGTGAAATATTTAAATAGAGGGCGAAAATTCGGAGCACCCGTCAATTCAATACCCAAACAGGCCAAATTAGTGGCAAGATAAGAGAGCATAAAAAGCACCGAATTAACTTGGGCAATGGTGTTTAAAGAACCAATCAAAAGTATAGCTTCAACTAAAGCCCAGCTTATTACAACAGCCACAATTGGATTGCCTTTCCATGTGCCTTTTACGATAAAATTCAACCATGAACCAAATACTTGATCCTTTGATAATGCTTCCAATATGCGACTAGATCCAATCAAATTCGACAGTCCCGTAGAGAAGGTAGCCGTTAATATTCCAATGGCAATAAATGGCGGCCAAAAATTGATCGGCATCAAGAAGAGATAATTGTTTTGCATTGTACTCGCCGGCGTAGTGAAGGCCATTAAAAATGCCAATATCACGTAAGCAACAAAGGTGAAGGCCACAGCCGATAAGGTACCCCATGGGATACTCTTTGACGGACTCTTTAATTCACCTGACATATTCGCACCAGCCATTATACCCGTTACCCCAGCAAATAGTACACCGAAAGTTGTTGCAAAGTCTACCGTTTTGCCATCTGAAGTATAATCTTGGCCGTAATGAGAATAAAGATTTCCAGCCAATGTGTCACCACTAAGGCCAGTGTAGGTTAAATTTGTTCCATTCGGAAGTAATGTGTTCTCGCCTGGCTTCCTAATCTGTAAAAAAACAAAGATGGCTTTTTAATTATTTTTGTAAATTCATGTTGACGACGCATTAAACAAAAACGAAAGGAAAAACGACGTTGCAAACATTCACTTTGGAGGGTAAACCAATTGTGTGTCGTGTGGTAGCTTTAATGGACCAGTTGCATCCATTTTCATAGGTATAAAACGCTGATGGGCATTTATTTCACACTAAAGGCCTGCTACAGATAGAGCATCTATTATGGACAGTTTTATCTTTTGAGTAAGGTTGGAGAGCAATTTTCAATATTTGCAGAATGTCCTGTAGGGTGGAGAATATTATTCCCATATTTTTTGAAGAAAAGTTGCCATCTGAATAAACATCTTAGCACATTCGGAAATACAAATGTTGATAACATTTTTTTTTTTTTTTGGTTTACGTACATGAGTAAGCTTTCCTCAGCTTTTCTCAGGTAATCATAACTTGCAGTCGGAAAAAAGGGAGTGAACACTCCAAAAATAAAGTGCGACCTGGTAAGCACCATACGCTCTCTGGTCACATGTGGGCTTATAATGAGAGGACTTGGAGAGCAATCATTTCTATCTCCAAAGTTCTCTTGCCATAATGAAAAATCTGATCGGCAACCCCAAATATAATAGTTCCAATAACTGGGACGGCCGTGTTAGGAACAAAAGGAGGTAAGAACACTTCTTACCAGTTCTTGGTATATGCCAATGAATGATTTCAATATATAAAATAGGTCTTTAGCATTTCTTCGATGTCGAATTGCAGTTCGACTTTTAAACTTTCAAGCAGATGACAGCTAATTGTGTACACTAACGCAGAAAGCCTTTTTAGGTTAAACATAACAAAACACATTTTAATTTAATTAAAAATAAACTTACAGTCATTTCATCCACGGCCAGAAAGCTAATGTAGGTTGACAGTAGCACAACCGTGACAATACCTAAAATCAATACAGATGTTTTTGCGAATAGAGCAGCGCCAATCAGACACACAATCAGCATTGAAGTGTTTATGACGGTGCAAAATAGGAAACGCCACCAAGTACCGTCCGGTATGAAAGCAGCGAAATAGCCACCTGGACCGAAATTACTCATCATAGCCTCCGTGCAGCCAGTAATCGCCATAGCGCAACCCACAATATTAGCCAAAAAGAACAAAGTTCCAATCGAACCACCAAACTCAAGACCAAGTGTACGGCTGATCATAACTTAAAAAGAGAAAAAATTATAATTAAATTATTTTTAAACAAGTTAAAACGTTACAGTCGGGCAAGGTCGGCTTTCAAATTCTACAAACCACTTGTCTTAATGCAATTGTTTGTTTATTTGTTTATTTTTGTCATAAAATACTAAACATTATATCTTGAAACCACAACCTGGGAACGAGCCCAATACATGAGGGAATTTAGTAAAATTGATGGCATTGTTAAAAAACTTCTTATTCTTGAACTATTTTTGTTATGGAATATCAGAATTTAAACCTTGTTCTTGTTGTAAGCTTATGAACGCATACTTGTCTAGAGAAGTCCTCTAGGGATAGGAATCCGAAAAATACACCTATGTAGCCCAAAGTCCAGAAAATTTTTATATGAAATCACAATTTTGGGCTACAACTAACAAAAATTTGATTTCGTTTCCATATAAAGGTCTTTTTTGCAAAAAAAGATTGCATGACGGTCTTGACTACCTCGACCATAATTTTGCACTTGGATTTTCTATATCGTCATACTCATTTTTACCGACTTCTGTCAAGAAATATTAAACAATGTTAATGTAGGACGACATATGAAGAATGGTCGTAAAAATTGTCCGTTCCCAAGCACTGTCAACAGACTTCGTTCTTCGCCCTTAATATGTCAGTGAACCAGTCATGGTTTGAACACAAAAAAACATCAAAAGGACGAACGGACAGACTTTTTAAATCGTTGGAAGAAATAATTATGAATCCATGTGAGTAAAATGCAGGTCCATAACATGTGCTTAGAAATTTTCCACACCGAGGGTCTCTGAGGTTTAATGTCTAAGGTCTATCGGTTAATTAACGAGCGATTTCCTGCGGCCACAACTGGCAAGACAATCTTGCAAGTGCGGCGGCTTCTGCCAAGGCTGGTGTACCAGATATCATCCGAACCGTCCATAAAGCGAGACCTGTCTGCACCTCCTCCGAGAATAAACACAACCAATACGAATAATTCCCTAACGGGAGACTTCACCCAGCAGTCAGGCCTCACACGCTGTTTCCTTTGAAGTTTCGCAGTACTATCACCACTACTTAAAAGCCCCCTACCTCCACAAACCTAACATTCCATACATCAGCACAAACTAAACATGCATTCGCTGCAAGTGGTGTAAGGTGTATAATAAAAGATAATATTCATGAATACACTTACAGTAGACACCGCCGCCTTCAACTGCTCCATTTGTGGAAATAGCGCATACCGAAGCCACAGTGAACAATAATATCATGTAAGCGATAAAAAATTGCAACAGCGTAACATATAAACCCGCATTGCCCACAATAAAGCCTAAAAAACAAATATGTAAATAAATCATAAACCAAATCTTAAGATATCTTTGCGAACTGTAGATAATATAGAAATTTTAATTTAAATATGCACATGCATGAGAAACAAAACAAATGAGATTTGTGTAAATTCACACAATTGTAACTTGATTTGCAGACTTTGCCTTTTCTCTTTTGCAGAGCATGATAATATTTCATAAGACATAATAAACAAAAAAAAAAAAAAAACTTCGTGATTACCAGTATCAGTTGGTAAGACCTTAAAACGTATCGCTTGCTCTTCGTTTTATACAAAACAGTAACACTAACTTGAAATTTGATGTTAGAAAATATTATATACAGCTAAGGCCGAACTTTCTGATGCCTACTTTTTGCCTTCTTTTGATTGTATTTTATTTGGAAAATCAAGAGCATATGTTACGACCGGGATGTATGACAACAGTGCAAATGCAAACGGCAAATAGAATATAAAGGTAAATATTGTAGTAGGTAGGGCAACATCGAGCCACTCTAGACCCGCACACTTCATGGACAGACATGAACCGGCCCAAGCCTTCATACATTTTGCAATTTTAGAACTTGATCGTTTTGTTCAATTCCCCATATCTTTGAAAATGCCTTAGTAAATTGTCCAAAATCGTCTGTCACATATATGTGACGTAGGGTTGTAATAAGTAACCAGCCGTATATTTGTGATGGTTGGTTGCGTAAGGTTAAAACAAAGATTAGTTAACGCAGCGGAACATTAGCAAACTTTTTAATATTCGTAATTTGCGAACCGTATTTTTTATTCGTTATAATTTTCAAGCACGTAATTGGAGTTTCACATCTATGGCGTGTAGACATCCTTGCTACTGTTCATACTATTCATGCCCCCATTATTTGATTGTGTTAAACTATCCGAAAATTCCTTTGCATATAATTCGTTTTCCTTTTGCTGCAAACACGCTATCAAAGTAGTGATAGATAGCTCCACTTTGGCGGTATTTGTCCCTACGAAAACTTGTAACTATCAAGTGATCGCGGGTAAACTACAATAGGCTTACAATGCACGAGCTCAATGAACAAAGTGGCATTGGCAGAAATTGAAGCCCGCTAAAGAACTACTTTAAATTAATATTTACCAAGTTTTTATTTGACTTTGGGAATGGCTTAGAATTCAATTCTGAAGCTCTCCTTTTTGCACTTCCGAACAGACAGAATAACGTGGGTTGTAAAATTAATAATAAACGAGAGACGAAACATCATCGAACATCGCATATGATAAAGAGGAGAGAAGAAATGATTATTCGCCCCTAAAAAAAGCCTCGGTCGTACATGCTTTGAACTTTGTTTTAAAAATGTATTAACATTATAGTAAATATAGTGGACCCCACAAGGCGGAAAATTCGTTTTCTCTTACCAGTATAATCAATTGGTTATCAAATAAATGGACTTGGATAGTAGGCATAGATAGGCTAACGGTCGCAACCGAATTCAATTTGCTTACCTGTTTTTTTTTAAATTACATTAGACTAAACGAATGAAATATGAGCGAAAAGTTACATTCAACCTGCATTGGACTTTTTAATACCCGCAACTAACTTATGATTAAATGAGAAAAGCCTTGAATAAAACGCGATTATTATTTTATCATGAATATTTCATTACAAGATAAAGTGAAAATCGCTTATTATGGGATATGATATGTGAGCGCAAGAATGTGCGATACTTTAAATCACATTTTCACATAACTTGTCAGTAACCTGTGGATCATCGTTTAAATTAACACATTACGTGTAGCGATTTTTTTCTAAGAGCATCTCCTCCTCCGCAATTAAAAATAGCGAAATGTATTTAATACTCTTTTATGTGTGCTATAGGGAGAAATACATTTAATGAATTTGAAAAATTGGAAAAGTCAGCTTTAGCTTTCCCCTCTATATATATGCATATGTAGGTTTCTTTAAAGAAGTTGTAAATGTTTAGAGAAGAATTTTGAGCGAATTCAAAGAAAAATTGAAATGCGTTCATGAAGGACTTTGCGTGAAATTTTGCGAAATGCATATATATAAGCGCGTCTAGTTCCTCAAGTAGTGAGAAATACGGTTGCACATATTTTACTTAAATGTTTTTTTTTTTTTTTTTTTTTGATAATTATAGACATGCGTTTTCGAGCTTTGATAATGAAACATTTTACATTCATTTCAAGGCTTTTTTAATGCTTTAATATTGTAATCTGAAAAAACAAATGGTCCCCTTTTTTGCTAATTGTGAAGATACATCGATGATTTAGTTAAAAATAAAATAACAACAGACTTACTTTCCCAGACAAAGTTAGGAAGTTGGAAGATAAATTGATGGACAGAACTAAATCAATTCGGTTGTTATGTAAATAGATTATGGGCTCTCCTACGTAAGTCTACTGCCATGTACCGGAAATGCTTGAACTTCAAATCGCGGCTGTGGATACGATTAATAACATAAATAAAGACTCAGTTCTAATCATATGAATAAACTCATTTATACAAATGCCCGACAAGTGTTAATACAAATTCTATTCGTGATCACATTTATTAGTAATTTTCACACATTAACTCTGTAAATCATTTAAATCAATTAACTGAAAAAATTTGCGAGTCAAATTTTATAGAAATAATTGCAAACGTATTAAATAATTATTATGTACTTACCTACACGTATAAATACTAAGGCGCTGAACATAGACAATGCCACAGGACTAAAGACACCAGCAAATGTCCCAAGAGTGCGGCCAGTGCGCTCAGGATTACCGAATTCAACATAGCCATTTATCCCTTGCGGGGTACCAACGCGTCTATTTACTCCATTGTTCGAGCCGAAAAGACTACCGAAGGAACGAAGCATAGAGGGGGGTCGACGGGCTGCAGCAATGGGGGCTGTCTCCAGATCACCATTTATGCTAGTTTGCGCATTCATATTTACGCAAATATTTCATTAATCATAGATCGAATTTTTTTATTTGTGCTTAAAAAATGCATATAAAACGCCCACGAATTTTTAGTGCATAATAAGCAATGAACACAGCAGTTAACTCGTTGTTTTTTTATTGTTAAATATTATTATTTTTTCTACGATAATTTTGTGTGTCTGCAAAAAATATTTTATCCGCTTGCGAGCTCATATACGCTTTAAATCATATTCTCATGATATGTATTTGAACATAAAGAGAAAGTTTAGAAAATTTGTTTTTTCTTTTTGTTTTCTTTTTTTATAACAGTACTTCTTTTTCTTTCCAGGTTGCTATACGATACAAAAGATTGATTTATTTTGTTTTGTATATGGCGTTGGTTTAATTATTTCTTACAATGCGTCATTCGTTGAATAATTTTTCTTCATTTGTATTGTAAAAGAGTTAGTAGAACTCAACAAAATATACACTAGATACACTAACAATTTTGTTATTGTTTGTAAAGTTGCCGGATTAGTTCAAATCAAATCTGGCATAAATACAAATAACTTCAGTGAATAGTTTTTTACGTAAACGAATTCTACAACGGAACGGAAACTATTGATTATGACTATTTTTTCGAAGCTAATCTGAGAATTGCAACAAGTAAGAACATTCTAAACGGGTAACGTCGACTATTAGTTATCCTAACACGGCTATTCACTCGTTTTGGCAATAATACATCAAATATTGCACATTAATTTCATCCAGAGGCATATTTCAGGACACCATGTGGCGTGGTCTAAATTTAGTAAAATTTAATTTACTTTTTAAAACTTCTATTCTTCTTCTATTCTATTATATTCAGATTCTTTCTATACATGGACTTGCTTTTGATGATACCCCTATATATTTTAGATTCTAGAAAAGAGATATATGTGTCCTAAATATGTAGCGTTAATTTTTGTTACCAAATTGTTACTAGCCACCAATTTTTGCCGTAAATTACGATTTTTTCTGAAGGCCGTAGTATTCATGAGATATCTTATATGAAGTGGGGTCCAAAAATAGAACTTGTTGCTGTCAAACTTGTTTCGCTTAATTTTTATGTCAAATTACTATCAAGAATCAATTTTCATCACAAATCATTAGCAGTTAGATCTTTTTGGCCTATAAGGGATTAGATTGCATTTGGAACGATTAACCCTTTAAACATTCTACAATCAGCTTCAGAACAGTATATCAATTCAATATTTTACTTTATTAATACTACTAAGCTTATTATCTAATATCCATTTATTTAAATTAGAGCCGATAGCCTGTGTTGCAAGTGCTCAATGTCTTTTTTTTAGTCTAAGAATTCAATTCATTAGTCTAAAATTAAAATAATAATAATAATAACAGATTTCTTGAGAATTATTACAGGCGGTGATGTCCAAAAAACGGACCAATGTGGTCCATAATTTTCTAGGCTTGGTTTCTTTCTCAATTTTCACCATTAAATATTGAAAATTAGACCTTTTGTACCATATAAAGACTCAGTTTTCATGGGAGTGATTATATGAGAGCGGATTCAAAAAATTCACCTAGCTGATCCAAATTGTTCATACGAATTTAGAATATCGAAATAGTATTACTAACCGATTTTTAGCGAGAAATTTTGCAAATTGCAATTATTTCCCATGCAAAGACTTTTCAAAATAAGGTAGCGGTAAAAAAAGTGGACCGTTTAGAACTATTCTCACTAGCGTTCGCCCTTGGATGAAAGCACGTCACTGTACCAAAATCATCAATACATTTCAAGACAAACAAAAAAAAAATCGTTGGCAGACGTTCAGGCAAGCTTAGATCACTATAATTAAAGGTGAGTGATTTTTAAGCTCTTCGAAGTGTTACATACGTCCGTCCCTGCACCACAACTGATGTAGGACATGCAAATGTAAACTTTCCAGAGTACAACATTTCAATAGAAATATTCAATTTATTAAATATACCATTAATATATCAAGAACTAAATAAAATCAAAAATTTATTGTAAATCATAAATTTAGAAAAAAAAACAAACGATTAATCTTAAATATTGTTAAATAAATACAGATTCAAATTATAAGTGGTTTTCATGTCAATCTTATCGAAATTGTTATTGTAAAAGTAGCTAATATTTCATTTATTTTAAAAACCTCCTTTTTGTAATAAAATACAAACGCCCTCAGTCTGCGAAATCAATTCCTATCCGTTTCATTTTATTTACGTGAAAAGCTCTTTGTTAGGGTTTGTTGCATTTTTCGTGTATGTTAATTTAATAAACATTTGTCATCATATGATTCCTATTTCCTATTGTCGTTTTTTGTTTGAGTATATTAAGGATATCAACAATTTAAAAAGTAACTTTATCTTCGCGTTTCCAAGTTATTTCAACTTTCCCCTTTTTTTTTTTTAATAATTAAAAAAATAAATGGGCATTGATAAGAAACGACGTTCACGTTCGCGCGAACGTCAAAACGACAAGGATCGAGAGCGCGACAAACAGCGCACGAGAGACTCACGCAATGATTACGAGCGGCAAAAATTGGTACGAAGATCCCGTTCTCGCTCAAGAGATCGTTCTGCAAGGTTGAGATCCCCGGACCATTCTTCGCGTTACCGAGATCGCAGCAAAGATCGATCTCGTTCTAGAGAACGCTATCGGGAGTCTTTTCGTGAAAAAGAGAAATCCTCTCGCGGTGAAGACATCAAATTAAAGAATGACAAAGACGAAAAGCAAGACTTGTATAAAAACGATGCTAAGCTGAAGAATGAAAAAAATGATAGTAAAGTGGAAGATGAAGAAACGCAACAGATAAAACCTAAAGCGAAAAAAGCGGAACCATTATCTTTGGAAGAACTATTGGAAAAGAAGAAACGGGAGGAGGAAGCCCGCAGCAAGCCAGTGTTTTTAACGAAAGAACAACGAGCAGCCCAAGCTTTAAAACGCCGTCAAGAAGAAGTGGCCGCTATAAGAGCTCAAGCCCAAAGTGGCATGAAATCAGGAGCTCATGCAAATAACGGAGTAACCAATGTAGCTGCTCATAACGCAGACTCATTCTCCGTATCTGCTAAACGATTAGACAATAGTAAAACAGATCGAAATGTTCGAGAACGCGACCGCGAATATGATCGACGTGACCGTGAGAGGGACACGAAGCGGGTCGATGATCTCTCTCAGAAAGATAAAGAGAAAGAGCTGGAAGCCATACGCGAACGATATTTGGGTATAGTGAAGAAAAAGCGCCGAGTTAGACGTTTAAACGATCGTAAATTCGTTTTCGATTGGGATGCTGCTGAAGATACTTCAGTTGATTACAATAACCTTTATAAAGAGCGCCATCATGTGCAATTTTTTGGTAGAGGCAACGTAGCTGGCATTGATATTAAAGAGCAAAAACGTACACAAAGCAAATTCTATGGAGATCTTTTAGAAAAACGCCGGACGGAAGCGGAGAAAGAACAGGAGAAGGTACGCCTGAAAAAAGTTAAACGCAAAGAAGACAAACAAAAATGGGACGATCGCCATTGGAGCGAAAAAGACTTGGACGAAATGACAGAACGTGATTGGCGTATTTTCCGTGAGGACTACAATATTACTATTAAAGGTGGAAAAATACCGAACCCAATTAGAAGCTGGAAAGAATCTGGTTTTGCTAAAGAAATACTGGAAATTATTGATCGCGTTGGTTACAAAGAGCCAACACCAATTCAAAGACAAGCAATACCTATAGGTTTACAGAACCGTGATATTATTGGTGTGGCAGAAACTGGTTCCGGTAAAACCCTGGCTTTCCTTATTCCTTTGTTGGCTTGGATTCAATCGTTGCCAAAAATTGAACGCCTGGAAGATGCTGATCAAGGACCCTACGCTATTATAATGGCTCCTACTCGTGAGCTGGCTCAGCAAATAGAAGAAGAAACAATCAAATTTGGTCAACCGTTGGGCATACGTACAGTAGTAGTGGTTGGCGGATTGTCCCGCGAAGAACAAGGCTTTCGTTTACGTATGGGTTGTGAAATTGTTATTGCTACACCTGGTCGTTTAATTGATGTATTGGAAAATCGATATTTGGTTTTGAATCAATGTACATATATTGTCTTGGATGAAGCTGATCGTATGATTGATATGGGCTTTGAGCCAGATGTACAGAAAATTTTGGAATATATGCCGGTCACAAATTTAAAGCCGGACAGCGAAGAAGCTGAAGATGCTAGTAAATTAATGGAAAATTTTTATTCGAAGAAGAAATTCAGGTAAAGGATCATGAATTGTTCTAAAATTTTCTAATATCTTTTTATAATAGACAAACGGTGATGTTTACTGCTACCATGCCACCGGCAGTAGAGCGTTTAGCACGCTCTTATCTGCGACGTCCCGCCACGGTTTATATCGGCTCTGTAGGAAAACCCACCGAGCGTACGGAACAAATTGTTTATATGATGGGCGAAAACGACAAACGCAAAAAGCTTATGGAGATTTTATCACGTGGCATCGAGCCTCCGGTTATTATTTTTGTCAATCAGAAAAAAGGTGCAGATGTTCTAGCGAAAGGTCTCGAAAAACTGGGTTACAATGCTTGCACTCTACACGGCGGCAAAGGTCAAGAGCAGCGTGAATACGCGTTGGCAGCCTTGAAATCTGGAGCCAAAGACATTTTGGTGGCCACTGATGTGGCTGGGCGTGGTATAGACATTAAAGATGTTTCGCTTGTTATTAATTACGATATGGCCAAGACGATCGAAGATTATACACATCGCATTGGTCGTACCGGCCGTGCTGGTAAAAATGGTATCGCCATATCTTTTGTCACAAAAGATGATAGTGGACTTTTCTATGATTTGAAGCAGTGCGTTATGTCAAGTCCGGTTTCAGTTTGTCCACCAGAATTAATGAATCATCCCGATGCTCAACATAAACCTGGAACGGTAGTGACGAAAAAACGTAGAGAAGAAAAGATATTTGCTTAAATTAAAATTTTTATTTTAATAAAACTTCATCTCATAAGTCTTAAAAAAAACGCGTTGCGACTATGCTTTGAATCCATTGGCAAATACTTTTCATAAAAATCCAAAATGATTTCTTCAATTTTAAAACCGAATTTCTGATACAACACGACAGCAGGATTAGTGGCCGATACATGTAAGGTAATATCTTTGGTCATACAAGTCTGCAATTAAAAATAACAAATATGGAATAATAAGCCTTTTTAAGGAAATTTAGCAAGATTAACCTGTATTAAATGATATAACATGAAGGTGGCAACACCACTGCGCTGCCACCCTGGACGGACGGCCATAAATGATATATAAGCCTCATTGAAACCTACATCAGGTACAAGAAAACCGCAACCGATAATCAATTTCCTATATAAAGCCACTACACTGAAATCTGGATAACTTAAACATTCGGACACTGCAAATGAAAAGGGCAAGATTAGAACTTAGAAATTAGAATTAGGAAAATTGCTTATAACTTGATCTGAACTTACTATCAATTCCTGGCCAAAACATGGTTTGTAATAGAGCATTAACAGCTGCTATGTGATTAGGACGCACATAACAATAGTCTACGGGCGCACGTTTCGGTGGAATTCCATTGACTTTAAACTTCAATTCACACATCAGCTGAAAGAATACGTTAAGCAATCTCATAGTCTATGTCCTGATCTATTTTAAATACCTTTAAAAATGGTGGAAAGCACTTTTTGTCACGGTACACAAAGGGATGCAAAATCCTTTGAGTATATGGGGATTCAAATAGTTCATTTTGAGATGAGCCAGCGATGCGAGCATAAAATGATTTCCTAACATCCGTAGAAGACAGAGATAGGAGCTTTTAAGGAAGAAACAGTTACAAGAAATTGTATCTCCATTACAGTGTTCTAACCTGATAACGGTCGATTATTTTTGATTTCTCTTCTTGATCTCGGTTTGTTTTGGTATTGCCCAAGTAGTTATCCAAATTAAACAAAGGTTTGCCATGTTCCCGTTTCCATTCACGAATACATAATTTACGGTAGTATCTACGTACGGAACACGGTATATGTAATTGACATTTCTCTTCCAAAGCAAAAATTTTACGTAATTTCTGCAGAACTCCACTTTCTTCATATACGCTCATCGGAACAAGTCTATATGTGTTTAAAAAAAATTTGATAACTATGTAACAATTGGATAAATGCTTTAGTCTTTTGACTTACTGATTATGTTCTCGTGCCGAATGTTCTGCACTTTCTGTTAATATTTCCTCAGATTCTTCCTTGTCTTGATCCAATAGCCAAGGCCAATTACGACGGGGATTTTTAGTAAATAAGCTCGGTTTACAAGAAGACAGAGGTTCATTTTGTTCGGCCTTTTCTTCGATCATTTCCGCTTTCTTCTTTATGGGAAGTTCAACTATTTTAAGTTCTTCTTTTATTTTACTGCTATTGAGGTCTTCTGTGGTAGCCTGCTGGAAATTAGTGACCTGCAATATTCGAGGTTTATATGCTTCATCTTCAGTATCACTTCCTGTTGAATTGCCCCTTTCCTCTTCACTATCCGGCCGTGACTCAATATCATCTTTAGCAAGCGGAACAGTTTTCATAGATGAGGTATTTGTGTTCTCCTCTTCAGCATCGTAAGTGTGTTCAGAATTTGTAGTATAAAAGTCTCCAGATCTAGCAAAAGGAACAAAAAAAAATTCATTTATTCTTTCAATACCAACAAATTTTCGATACCTAGTAATATGGTCCGTCTTTAGACCATCAAGCAATTGTTGTTGTTGCAGCTCACCAATTTGTTGTGGGTTATAAATATTGTCTAACTTTGGTTCTGCTGTCAAGTGAGAATAAAAATCACTATATAAATGCCCATTTAAATCCACAGGTTCAGATTTTATTAGCGCATTATCACTGTAGAGATTGGGATCGTCGTTGTCAGTATCCAGCAACGGCAATATGTCTGATTTAATTTCGGTTTCTACTAAAGGCTCGGGTGCTATATTTGGTAAAGCATTAAACACATTCAAATTATCGTCGGCAAAATTTTCAGCTAAAAAATCCATTAAATTGGATTGAACAGTATTTAGAGGCATAGCATTTTCCTCTACAGTTGTTGAACCATCTAATGAATTCTGCGAAACTTTTGACACTATTTCATCCTCTAGCACGTTTAAGTTCTTAAGCACTTTTTTGGGTTTACGGCCCATGTAAGGTCTACAAAGAGAAACTGGATTAGATAAGATTATGCAGTAAAACTATGTAGCTTCCACTTACATTGTACGACTGCACGATTCAACAACAAGTATTGAGTCCTCATCGGATTCGCAAGGCTTTAAACGTTTATTATCTTGTTCATTACTACCCGTTCTGTTGCAGTTATCGTCGAAACGGCGCTTATCCATACGCTCTAGCTGGCGTTTCCGGCAAATTTCCTCATCTAAAATTAAATAGAAATTAAAAGTTTCCATAATTTTGTTATCCGGTTTTTTTTTTTTGTCATACACAGCTTGTGTATATCTTTCGGAGATTTATTTGCATGCGTTAGCTTCCACCATCCATTCTCTTTAAACAATTCCTGTCCAGATGTGAAAAAACGAGGACTATTATGCGACAATGTCCCCGACACGGAACCTATCCAATTCTTCCGCTTTTTTCTAGAAAATTCATGTTAGATGTTTTCAGAGAATTTTCAAACGTCTATTCATGCACATACTTACACGCCATGCTCAAATAGATAGTTCCAGTTTTTATCAATAAAACTGACTATATGCGTACGCCAATGAAAATATCCATGATGACGACTCAAGCCTTTAGATTTTATTGATAAGTTATAAAGTGTTAGAACAATAACAAGCAACCAAGGCATACGTAAACGTGTAAATTTCTCGCGGATCGCCTTCGCCGAATCACCATTTGGTATTTTTAATGTAGATGGACTATTATCGTAGTTTAGCTGAACACATTTCTGGCACACAAAATCGAAAAAAACATCGCCAAATAAATCACCAGGCGTGCTGGCGCGTTTCAGACATTTAATGTGCACGTCTCGCTGGCATTGTTGACAACGCAAATAATTATCGTCATTTATTCTTGACAGGCAATACGTGCACTCAATTTTATCCATTTATTAATCTTTAAGTTGTTCCCAGTCTAACAAAACAAAATTAAAGTCTTCTGATTGTTTTAGATGAGTGTATTAGGGCTGTTGCCAGTAACGTGATTAATTTTTGACACAAGTTGTTCTCTTGGGTTTATAGCAGGTTAGGATGATCTTCAGGAAAAAATGGTGATGTAAGTCTTTTTTATCCGGCGGCAAAAATGTATATGTGGTCAGTTAAGTACTGTCAATTCCGGAGTTATTTTCGAAAGATTGATTTTACTTTCTGTATATAGTGTATTAAATGGGAGAATAAACACAAGTAAAAGATAAAACGCAATCAAAAAGAACGAAAAGGAAAAACCAGCGGATTTGATAAAGGAAGTCAGCTGTTTGATATGAGCATAGTTATCAACACGCAGAAGTTCATAAAAGTTTTTACATATGCTAAAAATATAGAAAGGCTGTGCAATGATGTCAAATTTTCTACATTCAAAAATTAGATAGCTGGCTGACTCCACTTTGCACCATCCGCGAGCATCAGATGAAATTTAAATTTTTACAAATCCAGTTGTCTGTGCCGTCTGACTAAATAACAATAACAATTAACGTCAATAAATAAATAAAAAAATCGTATAGTAACCGAGCTCCTAAAATAATCGCTAACTTTATTAAGGCGAACTGCTTAATGTTAATACTGAGCATTTTCTATTATAACGAGAGGAATTATGTTTTTTACACACAGAGTGCTTAACAAGAAGAAGTAATACAAATTTGAAATAAATCTTAACAATCCTATTCAACTATAATTGCATTTTCGATGTAGAGCACAGGATAATCGGGAGCAAAAACTTAATATATTTAAAAAATCTTTCTTAAAAACAAACTCTAAGAAAAAATAAAGAATATTTCAAATTAATGCAATAGCACGAAATAAGAAATACTGGTGATAAAACATATTCGCAGAAATTTCATATATAAAGAGAATTTAAAGACATTCTTTCACCTTGCTAGACATCTCTATCAAGAATTTGTTGAATAACCTTTCACAAGAGACTTTTACATTGAAAAGAAGTTGAATAGTTTAAAAAAGGAGCTGAGGATAAAAAGCGTTTGGTAGAAGTAGAAATGCACGTGCCGCATAAAATAATCAGTGGAGATCGCAGATTCGACGACTTACGTGAGCAGTTGAAGGTGAGACGTGTACCCGTTTCTGAATTGTTTACGAAGCGAACTCGCGAAGACGCTTTTTGTATTCTGATCCATTGCCCATGCTCTCTCTGAAGTGGGCCAAAAGCTCAACATTTGGACAAGGATGCAACAAATTGCATCTACAGTTCGAAGATACATACATTTAAACTTCAAGGTATTCCAAAAGATTATCTATGCCAGTACTAATTATTTCAACAACAAAATATTTTTAATCCAAAAAAATTTTTGCTTGTTTTTCTTTATTGCGACTCATTGCCTGAACATTTGGAATAAAAATAGACTCAAAATTATACATTAGGTAAATTAAATTTTATGAATAATTACAAAATTTTCTTTAACAAGCAACCGATACAATTTATTTTCAATGTAAAATATTGTTTTCCAATCAAAATGTTTAGGCAATTCTTCTGTTTTATTTAACGACACCATGGAAGCCCACTAATACGCTCTTCCGTTTAAGCTCATTTTTTCTATTTTTTATTTCATTAATGAATCAGAAATTTAATTTACATTTGCACTAATTTGTTTTATCTTCGTTTTTCATATATTTGCTTATATTATTTTACATTTACATTTCTTTATAGTAAAGCCGGCAGGCGCTAATACACATTTACTACTTGTGTATCCGAACAACTTAATAACGCACCTTTTTTAATACAACGCTGTCATTCACAATTATTCACTCTCTAAATATATTAGAAGAAGAAGAAATTGAAGTTTAAAACTGTTTTTTTGCTTATTATCAAAAATTAATGTAGTTTCATTTTATTTTTTTGTTTACAACGTATCAAAAAAACATGAGCGCGGAAGTCCAACCTTCCATGGACTATAACTTAGACGCTGATTCAGAATTACGGTTTGAAGTAGAGGATAAAAATGCGAAGGTTTACGTTACGGTAATACAAATTAAGATTTGATGAAATGAAACTTATTCAATTTCGTTTTCCAATGAAGTTAATTTCAGGTTTTGCTGAAATGTTTGGCACTGAGCTGATAAAAAAAAAGAAATACGAATTTGTGATGGGCGCTAAGGTGGCAATCTTTACATATCACGGTTGTGTTTTACATTTAGCTGGAAAAACTGAAGTCAGTTATATATCCAAAGAAACTCCCATGATACAGTATCTTAACTGCCACGCTGCTTTGGAACAAATGCGCGTGGTTGCTGAGGAGAAAGATGAGCGAGGGCCAGTCGTAATGGTAGCTGGACCTATGGATGTTGGTAAGAGTACATTATGTCGCATACTTTTAAATTATGCGGTGCGCCTGGGGAGAAGGCCTTTGTATGCTGATACCGATGTAGGACAAGGTTCATTATCCATACCAGGCACCATCGGCACAATATTGGTTGAACGACCGGCTAGTATAGAAGAAGGTGTTTCACAAACCGCTCCTTTAATTTATCATTTCGGACACAAAACCCCAAGTGGCAATAGTGTTTTATACAAAGCTGTAATCAGCAAAATGGCTGAGGTTATTTTAGAATCTATGAATGACAATAAGAGAAGTAGGTTCTTAGAACCTCTTTTAAGTTTGTAATCATAATTTTTCATTTTGCAACAGCAAAACATTCAGGTATCATCATAAATACCTGTGGGTGGGTAAAAGCGGGCGGCTACGATAATTTGGTCCATACAGCACAAGCTTTCGAAGTGGATGCAATTTTTGTGTTGGATCAGGAGCGTTTGTACAATGAATTATTAAGAGATATGCCTTCATGCGTGAAAATCGTCCTTTTGCCTAAAAGTGGGGGCGTTGTGGAACGTAGCAAAGATTTAAGAGCCGAATATAGAGACTTACGGATAAAAGAGTACTTTTACGGTCATAACACGCCACTGTACCCTTTTTCATTTGAAGTCAAATTTGTGGATTTAAAACTTTATAAGATTGGAGCACCGCCACTGCCCGACTCATGTATGCCATTAGGAATGAAGGTAATGGTTTGATTTATAAGATAGTCAATTTTCAAAGTAAAGCTTAGTAGGCTGAAGACAACAAAACTAAATTGGTGGCAGTCACACCAAATCTTGGTCTCACCCATCATATACTAGCTGTAAGCTTCGCTGAATTTACGGAAGAAGACGTCATAGGAACAAACGTGCTTGGTTTTGTGTGCGTGTAAGTATAATAAAGGTGTCAAATATATATGTATTTATATATATACAATGCAACGGTCTTTTTTCAGTACTCATGTGGACATGGAGCGGCAGTCTGTCATGATTTTATCGCCTCAACCTCGCCCCCTGCCGAATACGTTGTTGTTGTATTCAGAGCTACAGTTTATGGATAGTCATGCTTGACTTAAAAAAAAGTTATTTGCGGGCAAACAACTGTGCACGATGAAATTTAGAAAATAAAAGACATAGTTTGTTAACACATATAAAGTCGTATTAAAATCAGTATCAACTACCTCGATGGAAAAAGCCGGAAAGCAAAACCTTTCTTTGATGTCTTTGCGATTCTTTTTTTTTTTTTATTATTTAACATGTCATTTTTAAAAACTAAATTTTTCATGTGTTGAGATCGGGTGAATTTGCTTTCTATTTCTAATTCCGATTAAAAACACTTTTTTCCATAATGATCACATAAGCAATTTGACAACTTCACGGAATTCAGAAGTTAATTTCTAAGAAAATGAAGTTTTTGAAATATTTAATCGCTTTTTGGAATTTTTAATTAATTTGAAGCAATTGGGTTTGTTTAAAATAATTAATAGAAGCCGGTTGACAATGCAAATGTAGTAAATGTTCCAACTAAATAATCCTCAAATTCTTATTAAACAGAATTGCTGCTACTTTTTTATGGTCTGGCTATAACGCTCGAGTACGGCTTGCACATAATTACACTGATTAATACTTTGGACACTTTGGTTTGGTTTGTCAGAATTTGAGATTCCGGTTAAATACATAAAATGTGACGTACACTTTGATAATGGTTGCTAGTTATGTTTTCTAAGGAACAACGTCCATAATAATACAGTTCAAATTTTCCGACTAATTCTATCTCCTTACAAACTTCCTGTTACGAAGTTTCCATTTAATTTCAATGGAAATCAACTAGCTATTCATCTAACAAAGAAATAATTTTTAGTACATGCAGTATTTGGGAGAATAATAGGGACCATAGAAAGTTATTGCATAGTTTAATTTTATTTTATTAAAATATCAAAATAGGAAAAGTCCTATCCTCAATGATAAATCAAGACAAAAAAGATTGCAAAAGAAAAATCTAAAATTACAACAACTAAGTGATAATAACACGAATGGATAAAGGGGAGAATCAAATAGTAACTACTACTAACTTATAGTAGTCGCTGAGCTTATTGAGACTTCACCTTCATATTCAATCCTTTCTAATACGTCACTGGTAATCAACTGATGTTGACACGCTAAATACTTTTGAAGAAGAAGAAGAATTGAACTTAAAAACAATAATTGCAGTTTCTTTGCTTATTATCAAAACTGAATGTAAAGTTTTATTTTATTTCTTTGCTTACAACGTACCAAAAAAACATGAGTGAAGAAATACAACCTTCCATGGACTATAACTTAGACGCTGATTCAGAATTACGGTTTGAAGTAGAGGATAAAAATGCGAAGGTTTATGTTACGGTAGTCCAAATTAAGATTTGATGAAATGAAACTTATTCAATTTCGTTTTCCAATGAAGTTAATTTCAGGTTTTGCTGAAATGTTTGGCACTGAGCTGGTAAAAAAAAAGAAATACGAATTTGTGATGGGCGCTAAGGTGGCAATCTTTACATATCACGGTTGTGTTTTACATTTAGCTGGAAAAACTGAAGTCAGTTATATATCCAAAGAAACTCCCATGATACAGTATCTTAACTGCCACGCTGCTTTGGAACAAATGCGCGTGGTTGCTGAGGAGAAAGATGAGCGAGGGCCAGTCGTAATGGTAGTTGGACCTATGGATGTTGGTAAGAGTACATTATGTCGCATACTTTTAAATTATGCGGTGCGTCTGGGGAGAAGGCCTTTGTACGCTGATACCGATGTAGGACAAGGTTCATTATCCATACCAGGCACCATCGGCACAATATTGGTTGAACGACCGGCTAGTATAGAAGAAGGTGTTTCACAAACCGCTCCTTTAATTTATCATTTCGGACACAAAACCCCAAGTGGCAATAGTGTTTTATACAAAGCTGTAATCAGCAAAATGGCTGAGGTTACTCTAGAATCTATGAATGAAAACAAGAGAAGTATGTTCTTAGAAGTAAAGAGAAGTATGTTCTAACTTTGTAATCATAATTTTTCATTTGGATTAGCAAAACATTCAGGTATCATCATAAATACCTGTGGGTGGGTAAAAGGCGATGGTTACGCTAATTTGGTCCATACAGCACAAGCTTTTGAGGTGAATGCAATTTTTGTGTTGGATCAGGAGCGTTTGTACAATGAATTATTAAGAGATATACCTTCATTCGTAAGAGTCGTTCTTTTGCCCAAAAGTGGTGGCGTTGTCGAACGTAGCAAAGATTTAAGAGTCGAAAATAGAGACTTACGGATAAAAGAGTACTTTTACGGTCATAAAACGCCACTGTACCCTTTTTCATTTGAAGTCAAGTTTGTGGATTTAAAACTTTATAAAATTGGAGCACCGCCACTTCCCGACTCATGTATGCCGTTAGGAATGAAGGTAATGGTTTGATTTATAAGATAGTCAATTTTCAAAGTAAAGCTTAATAGGCTGAAGACAACAAAACTAAATTGGTGGCAGTCACACCAAATCTTGGTCTCACCCATCATATACTAGCTGTAAGCTTCGCTGAATTTACGGAAGAAGACGTCATAGGAACAAACGTGCTTGGTTTTGTGTGCGTGTAAGTATAATAAAGGTGTCAAATATATATGTATTTATATATATACAATGCAACGGTCTTTTTTCAGTACTCATGTGGACATGGAGCGGCAGTCTGTCATGATTTTATCGCCTCAACCTCGCCCCCTGCCCAATACGTTGTTGTTGTATTCAGAGCTACAATTTATGGATAGTCATGCTTGACTTTAATAAAGGTGGGATGACTTACGGATCAAACAACTGTATAGGAAAAGTTTTCAGCAAAGAGTAAATAAAAAACTCTTGAAAAAATTATTAGTTCGCTAATTTTTAGAAAGATTGTATTGGAATCAGCATTCAACCTATCAACTACCTTGACGGAAAATGAATCCAATGAATCGTTGGAAGCAAGTTATGCAAGACTTTTTTTGTACTTATGTTTACTTTCTGTGAAGAAAATTTTTGTGTTAACTAACAATTGTTTTTGTATCATTTCATATTTCATCAATTTATTTTTTATAATTTAAAAATTCCTCCTTTCGTAATGATTATCTCAGGTTAAAGAAAATGTTCTCGAAGGCTAAAAATTTTAGTGAATTTGCGAAAGTAGACGATTGTTTTTAAAATTTATTATGATATTCAAGAAATGATTAGATATATTTCATAAAAATAGTCAGACTATATCATTGTAAATATTATTGCTATAAAATCAACATCGATGCGGTTCAAATTTCTGAAGTGTTGGGATTTTTCTATAAATTTTCTGAAGCGAATTTAATCCTAATAGCAATCAACCTGCTATTTCTCTAGGAAAGAAATGAAACTGTCGTTTTTTGCAGCTTGAGACGATATGTTGATGAAAAGAAACGATAATTGTTCGAGTGCAATATTGAAGTCATCGCCTTAATGTGGCAATAATTAATTTCGCGCACTTAGGTTTGGTATGACTCGATTTAAAGCAATCTAGCTTAATGTCCAATAGAAAACCGCTGATAATGCAAATACGGAACTGCGTCCTGAGGAACTGCGTCCTCAATTTTGCATTTAAGAGAACTTCTATCACTTTAATAGCATCGAAGTTTTGCAATTTATTGAAACCAACTCGGTGCTCTCCCCATTCACCGCACGTGGTACATTTGTTCTTGAACGATGTAAAGGTAGAAACCAAAACAATAAAGAACATTATGATATAATAGCCCAAATAGATCATTGTATTCGATAAATGGATTTTTAATAAACCTCGACTAACTATATCTACGTGGGCCTTAAACATCTAGACTGTCTCTTGATATCATATAGTTTGAATAAGTAATCAAATGATTACATTGTTTACATAAACATCAATAAAGCATAGAAGCGATGGGCAGAGAAACATCTAAAAATTGCGTCGATGTGAAAGGGTATAAAAATTGCATCCATTAGAGAGTAAGCGCATAAAAATGGTTCGCGATGCAAATGCAAACAGAAGTGTTCCTGGCTTTAACGAATACTATGTAAACTCGGGCAAATGATTTCAGGAAATCAGTAAAATCACTCTCTGTAAAAGAAAATATCATATTTTTAGATAATTAAATGAAAATAGTTTACAGTGGTCGAATTTTTTTTAGTTTAAGAATTCAATTCATTAATCTAAAATTAAAATAATAATAATAATAATAATAATACATATGGAAATCTATCTTGAGTCGCTATGTATATGATTAAAGAAAAACTGTGCACCGAGGGCATACGCGAACTACTACTTTTTTAAATATATTGCTGGTAATTTTTTTTTAAATCGTGTAATTATTATAGAAAAATGAATTTAATAACAAAATATGTTAAGTAAGCTTTGACATCGTATAAAGCGAACTAAGCAAATCAAGACATGGACGCATTGTATTTATATCAACGTAAATAATGGAATGTTTTTTATACAATTTAACTGAATTCTGTAAATGAATTGTAGCGTAATAATATAATTATACTTTCTCAGAGCTGTTAATAAAGTAGCCTGGAAAACCTGAGTACAACTTTTATTTGAAATGATGGCAACTATGAATCCCACATGGGTCAGTCATATGGCGTAATTCGTTGGGGGATTACCCAGATATAAAGCTTAACTAGGTGAAACCAAAAGTGGTTTTTGACACTATCATAAACCTTGATAAAGGCAATAAGCATGGATAAAAATAAAGCTATTAAGCCAAAAATCTTTGTGAAAGGTTCTGCTTGCAATAAAACTCAACTGACGTTGTCTCCTGTGATATCATTGCCAACAGTTTCGGTGAATGGGGAGTTAATAACGTCAAGGTTGGAAAAAAATGTTAGAAATCCTGGGGCGGACGTAATTTCAAGTGCTTTTACAACAGATGATAAATATCAACAAAGAAAGTCTATGCAATCAGCATACAAGGAATTATTCACTGCTCTCCTACGACTTCCAGACAAGCAAGTACAGCAAAGAGTGTTGGACGCTATTAATGGTAAACTTAAAAGCTTTACAACTGCTGCAACACAAACAGAGCCTGTTGAACTCAAAGAATGTGTGGGGAAAGTTAATGCGAGCACTAAAGCGGAGCAGGAAAAGTATTGTGCTGAGGAAAATGGTAAAGAATGTCCAAAAATAATTACGAGCCAGAGTAAAAGACGTCGTCGTAGGCGTCGGGTTATGTTGCCGCAAGTTAGTAAGGAATCGCACGCGGTTATGGCTTTAAAAAATCCCTCACCAAAAATGATTAAACGGAAAGTTTGCAATGTCAATAAAGTTGTTAATAAGGATCCAACAATGACACAGAAAGACCATATTAGCAAAAGGGCTCGCTTAGATTCATTCGTTGGCTCAATCCCATCCGACCTAGAAAGTGCAGATTTATTATACCCGATGGATTTCCTTGAAGACGAACGTCAAAGAGATGAAATGTATGAGCAAATGATTAAAGAACATTTAATGGCAGGTGTCGTTTTGAGTAATGGTTTACTGTAAGTTATTGAAGTAATAGTTTACTATAATTTATTGCAATGCAAAACAATTCTATAAATTTATTATAGATCCATACACGAAACGATAATGCAAAACGATCTTATACGTTTAAAAAGGCAATTATATATATGGCAAGAAGTGAGAAAAGTTGACTTAAATGAGCTTTTAACTGCTGATGACAAAGTAAGTTAAAAATTTGAAATTTTTCTGATTCCTTCTTTTTTATATATGTATGTACATTTTCTCTCCATTAATTGGACTCACTTGAAGGACTGCTTACAATTGGCTATCATACACAATTGTTATCCAGCAATAATGTATGTATTACTTGAAGCTGGCCTCAATTACGATTCATTGGATAGTCAAACTAATACAGTTATCCACTTGGCTATGTTACACGATATTGAGATTAAATCGTTGGAACATTTAATGCAAAGAATTAGTTTGAAAAAGCTTTTAATTTTGAACGATGATGGGTATACGCCTTTGCATTTGGCAATTAGACACGAACGGTAAGTCAATTAAAAAAATTGGAGATAGTGGGTAAGGTGTACATACTCGTTTAAGAGCATTTATTGTTATTACATAATTTTAGTTACCTATTGGCAGAGTGTTTACTTAACGAGTTGGACAAGCGCTCAAATGGTCAAAAGCATTATAAGCGTGACATTCGTTGGGATGTGGATATAAAGGAAATTAAAAAAGATTTTCAAAACTATTACGAGAAAGTCTGCTTACAAATGGATACCGGTCAAAATGTAGACACACGTATCAACAATTCCGGCCTAAAACGTCAATTATTAGAAGCCGGTGATATGCGTAGCGGTAACACAGCACTGTTCTTTGCCGTCGAAAATAGATCGGGTTTGTGGTTTTCTCAAATTACTAATTGCAATATTTACGTTATATGCCAATGCCTGGTCACCTCCTCATACATTCTTTGATAACAGTTACGTACATGTGTATATGCAATAGACGCTATGATTTAACCGATTCTATAGTTCTACAGCAAATCGTACTAATGTTTGTCAAGGAATGTGTTACTAAATTGCTATTTCGTTCTCAACGAACGTAAAATGCCATGAAGTCATAAATCAAGATAATGTTTGAAACGTGTTACCTTGTATTTGCTCAGATTTACACACACTTCCCTCAGGAATATAATAATAATTTACTTTATTTATTTAACTAAGTTTCTATTGACTTGGTTTTTCGTAGCAAATATTCCTATAAATAATTATATTAGATTGTGTCAAAGATAGAATCGCGCACCTTGGCCCCATTTTTGGCTAATTAGTCAACTTTTTCGTGGCTATCGACAGGGGAACTCTCAGGAAGCCCCATTAGGTGTACTTCGTTGCTCTTTCGCAACTGATTCAGAATGTCAAGGCACTCATATATGTTATTGTGTGAGATTTTATTGTCTTTAGAGTAGGTTAGCTAGCGCGTCGTTCGAGCGTGTTTTCTTCAGATGTTTCGCATGAACATCCACTTTACGGTTTTATCAAATTTTACTCTCAGATATTTTAGGTCATCTATATTATCACCGTTATTTCACCGTCACCGTTATTTAGGGTGATTTTCTTCAATTCTCCATTGTTTTTTTCTGTAGACTGTTACTATGCGTTAATGTGGCTTACCTTATGAACTTATCTAACATTCTTCCTTCTCTTTTGAGAAAAAAGGAATTGAGGAATGAATGTAAATGATGTTGGCTGGTGCTTATTTCTCCTCCCGGCCTTAGGTATAAAAACCGCATTTCCTTTCTAGTCACAGGCGTTCCGTCAATTCTCCTGGCCGCTTGGTCCCTTGTCCCAGGAGAATTCACGGAAGGAGAGAAAGATATCACTTTCGGACTACCTTTGTAGTCTCCAATATATACCGGAATATAGAGGTATGCTAATATAGTCATTCTGTTTGTTGCATATTAAGCTCGTAAATCAGTAGAATCAGCTCGAAACTTTCCGCACATTTATCACAAAACCCTACATAAGTAAGATGGAGTGAATGAAACTTACAGTTGCGGACCTCTAAGCAGTTATGTTATGCAAAAATGAAATCTTGAAATCACAATTGTATATATAAAATTAACCTGGGGAAAATCTGTAAAGCAAATACATATTTTTCTCTTGAAAATTAAAGCAAATGTTAATTTGTAATGCAAATATTCATAAGAGTATTCCGGACAAAAAAAAGAGCAATAAAACCTTGAAAGTTTTCTTCTTATCTTTTCTTTTTATTCTCTTTCCAGAACCTTTTATATATTTTTTGTTAGCTCATTTAAGTGATCCTTGTATTGAAAACTTGTGTGGACAGGATGCGAAGACTTACTTTTGCGAATTTGGCAAATCTCTAAATCTTAGCTTAAATATTGACAATACCATGGAAAAAATTATAAAAATGCGTATGTCATGCTGATTTTCTTTATTACTTTTGTTTATTTATTGTAAGTTCACCCCAACTACTTTTTTCGAAATCCACTTTTATTAACTTCTTTAAATTCATTTTTTCAGTGGAACGTAGTTGAAATTGTGCAGCTATATCGTTGTCTTTTATATTTTCTTTAAGCCATGGTAAATATTTTTTAGATAATTTGACTTTTTTCTTCTTACTTTTGGACTGTAATCGTCGGACTAAAATTATGGAATAACAATAAATGCTCTTAAACGAGTATGCACACCTTACCCACTACCTCCAATTCTTTTAATTGATTTTCGTCGTAATGAGAAAATTGACAATATAACCCAAATTTACAATATCCTTTGCTATATCTGGAACAAGGAGTTTTCTTTATCTCTTCTTCATAAACTTTAACGGGATCTACAAGAGAGTTTCTGTTATTCATTAGTTTCGGAAAATAGTATTTCACGTACTCTCGTATCTTTTCATATATGTTACTTTAGCAATTTTATGAGATAAACCAGAGTTATGGACTTTGCGGACATTTACATCGTTTTTCATATAACATTGGCAATAATCACAATAATAACTTTTGCCGCCCATGATCGATTCTTAGAAGTTTGTAAACATTCAAAACAATTTCTTCGAAATTCTTACTTAAATAATTCGCAGTATTTTAAGTTTGTTTACAATGCTTCGGCAGAGTAGCCAAATTCCACATTTTTAAGAAAACTGAAAATGGGAATTCATTACAAATATCGATAATTGCTATCAGTCGGTAATAATTAGAAATTAATCGATTGTATCACCAATGACATTTCGCCTTTATTTATTCTTCTAATTATTGAAGGAAAGGAGTTTCATTTTTGTAGTTAATTTTTTATTTTTATTCTTTGTTATGGAAAAATGCTTACATCCTTGCAACGAAGCAAAAATAATTTACAAAAACAATCAAAGTGACTCGTCAAATAATATCATTAAATTGTCACCATAAATTTAGTATACTTTTTTTTGTAGAAAAATAACGAAGACTAGTAAAAAACATGAAATTAATTCACAAGAATGTTGATAAAGGAGGGCAAGGGTAAGTGTGTAATATTTATATTTGGGATTTTCGTTTTTTCATTATATACCTTGCAATTCTAAAAAAAGGACCGTCGTTCTTATACCAGAAGAATCGGAGGACATGTGGCACGCCTATAATTTGGTAGCAGAAGGTGATAGCGTTCGTAGTACGACTATACGCAAAGTGCAAAATGAAACTGCTACTGGCTCAAGTACTAGCAGCCGAGTACGTACTACTCTAACTATTAGTGTTGAATCCATAGATTTTGATACACAGGCATGCGTTTTGCGACTCAAAGGTCGCAATATCGTTGAAAATCAATACGTAAAAATGGGAGCTTATCATACTCTGGATTTGGAACTAAATCGTAAATTTGAATTGCGTAAACGAGAATGGGATACAATAGCTTTAGAACGCATAGAAATGGCTTGCGACCCTACGCAATCTGCCGACGTGGCTGCCGTTGTAATGCAAGAAGGTTTGGCTCACGTGTGCCTTATAACTCCTAGTATGACTTTGGTTCGCAGCAAAATTGAAGTTAATATACCTAGAAAACGCAAGGGTAATATACAACAGCACGAGAAGGGCTTGGCTAAGTTCTATGAGAATGTTATGCAGAGCATACTTCGCCATGTTAACTTTGATATCGTAAAATGTGTTATATTGGCATCACCCGGTTTTGTAAGGGACCAATTTTTTGAGTATATGTTTCAACAGGCCGTCAAATTGGATATTAAATTGTTGCTGGACAACAAAGGTAAATTCATGCTAGTGCATTCTTCATCCGGTTTCAAGCATTCGCTTAAAGAAGTCCTACAAGAACCCGCGGTTATGACTAAAATATCAGACACTAAAGCTGCGGGTGAAGTAAAAGTTCTAGAACAATTTTACACTATGCTTCAGTGTGAACCATCAAAAGCGTTTTATGGCAAAAAACATGTGCTACGAGCTGCAGAAAGTATGGCTATTGAGACTTTAATGATATCGGACAATTTGTTTCGCTGTCAAGATGTTAACCAACGTAAAGAGTATGTTAAACTTGTCGAGAATGTCCGAGATGCCGGTGGTGATGTGAAAATTTTCTCAAGCATGCATATTTCTGGCGAACAATTGACACAACTTACAGGCATAGCTGCTATTTTGCGTTTTCCAATGCCAGAACTCGAGGATAGCGATAGCGATGATGAAAAAGGTGCTCAAGACTCAGAATCTAAATAAAAAAAAAGTTTTTTACAATATTTTGTATTAGTTTATTTACTTTATTTTCCGATCTTCATAAGAAATTTTCGTTATAATTTTAAAATAATAATATAAAAAATAAAAACAACGATTATGAATGGACGCACATCATATATATCATTACTTAAGGCAATATATTTGTTTCATTCTACGATTATTCGTGTTAAAAGACCAAGAAGCTTACACATGAAACACTGTTTAGAGCAAATCACTGTTCGATCTCAATTAAATGCAAATGCGTCTCAGAAGTCTGTTTATACACTGAAAAGTTGACCTACGTAATAATAGCAAGGTTCCTTTGGAGCAAGGACAAATTTTTACATTTATAGTAAAAGAATTTATTCAATTACTCTATTAAGTAATAAAATCGAATAGTATAAATTACGTTTTTGGCTTAGCAAAGTATCTCTATCAAGAATTTGTTGAACAACCTTTCACAAGAGACTCTTACATTCAAAAGAGGTTGAATTGCCGGGCTCTCTAAAATGGAGGATTTATGGAGGCATTTGCCAAATTTGTATAATCAAAGCAACATTCGGAAAAGGATGCAACAAATTGTATCTAAAACGCGAAGATACATACATTTAAACTTCAAGGTATTCCAAAAGATTATCTATGCCAGTTCTATTTCAACAAAAAAATATTTTTAAACCAAAAAATTTCGCAAATTTTTGCTTCTTTTCCTTTATTGGGAGTCATTGCCTGAAAATTAGGAATAAAAATAGATTCAAAATTATATATTAGGTAAATTAAATTCCTTCAATAATTGCTAAATTTTAACAGTAGCTGCCCACACTTCTTCTTCAAAATACCATCTACAAACGGCATGAATTATGATCAAAATACTATCTACAAACGGCACGCTTGCATGAGTTATGAATAAAATATCTTTCGTCAAAGTTAAGATTTTCTCTCTTCAAATATTTCAGTTGTAATGCAATGTTTAGGCAATTCTTTGTAGCTGATTGAGAGTTTAATTACATTTTTCTCTAGATATTATTTTTTTTCTATAGAATTCGTATTTTGAATCGGATATCTGAAAAATAAAACCGGTCAAATGACTGGTCGATTACGAGTTGATATTTTTATGTTATGTTTATGGATAACTGTCCACAAAAAAATCTCCTCATCTGTTAGGAATCATTCCTCTGTGATTAGCTACTTCACTAAATTATAAGTGCGGTAACCACGGTTTACATCAATATAAAGAAAGAAAAAATCAATTAATGTGCAGAATAAATTGTCAATCGTGTCAAATTTTTCAAGAAAAAGCTTGATTAGGCATACTAAAAAATAAATAATAAAAGACATTAACAATATTTAAAAATATATTTATAAAAAAAAAAAATTTAGAAAGACTGAATTGCATGTAAAATTTATTTTTATAAGCAAACGAACAAAACATGAATCGCCGTAAGTCGCCATTTTTCTCTCTTATTACATATTAAGGGGTTAAAGGTGAGACATACTACAATAAAAGGTTCCTCATCAAAAAACATAGTTTCTTCCTTAAGAGAGCGGTTTAATAAATGTTTGGGAGCAGAAGTTGCTTCAAGGACTATTATCCTACATAAATTTATAAAAAAACAAAATCTCTTAATTTTTCGTATAGAACACAAGTTCTTTCTACTTGTGCTCAACAAGCGAATACACTAACAAAAAAAAGTTTTCAAGATTAAAGAAAACCGCCGGATGACAAAAAGTCATTCTTTTATTACAATTATATGCTTTCGAAAAAAGAAAAACGAATTTTAATAAGCACGGTGCTTTGATCTTTTAGGTTCTCGTAGCATCTCGCCACGTCGCTATCGTAATGGCACTAACAGCGGCGGAGGAGGAGGTTATCGTCGCTATAGCAGATCACGGTCCCGTTCAAGGTAAAAAATCCCTTGTGAAATTTTATTTAATGTAAATTAAATTACCGTTATATGTGAATAGAGAACGTAGTCGCGACCAAAGCCATCGTAGACGAAATTCACGATCACGTAGTCGCGATCGCAATTATCGTCGTGGATCCAGCAATGAAAAAGATCTTTACCGTGATATTATTAATTCAGACTACCAGGATGACCGAACTTACGGCTACTCCCGAGGAGGCAGTAGTGGAAGTTATCGATCTCGTAATGATGACAACTACAATGATGACCGCTGCGGAGATAATTACGGCTGGAACGAAAGATCTCGGGACAAAAGTAGTAAAGATTATGACCGTGACTATGAAAGGGATAGAAAGTGGGTTTCATTGTTATTTAATTATTGCAGAACATATTATTAAAATTTCAAATAAATTGTAGGCGTCAGAGTAGCAGCAATAATGGCGGAGGCGGTGGAGGGGGAAGGCGGTATAATTCTACGGAACGAGATCGTGACAGTGACGAAAGTGACGATAACATTAGCGGTCATTTTTATAATAAGACACCTTCAAATACAATAATCGTTTTGGGTCTGCAGTCACATATCACCGAAGCTGACGTAAGTGTGAAGTACATTGTTTATTTGTGGTTTTTGCGCGGAAATCACCGCAATAAGTAATAATATCCATCAAGCGTTTATATCAAAATACTCTTGGGACGTCCTACGTTCTAAGCAATCATAATGTACGCTCATCTGCCCGTAAAAGTCGGGGTTGTGATCTTTGATTGCAATAGTATAAATGGTCCAAAATTTAGTACTTATATATTTACAAGAAATCAAATGGAAACTTAAGTTAACTGATTTGTGCTTTTCTTCTAAATGAAATGAAAATGATGTATACTAGTATCTCTGTTGCCATGCGTCCTTGCTTGCACATAATATCATAAGAGGATTTCTGTCTCCATTAAATCACAACAATATTGTATGTGCTTTGTATACATTAAAGGGCCGCACTGAACACATTTATGTTGAAATCTTAGTAAACGCATTTGGCAATTCTAAAATATGATGGATATTAAAAAACCTCATCTAAATAATAAATAATGAAAAAATGTTGTTCTCCCTTGTATTTAAATAATTCAAATGTTGTTATTGTAGATTATGAGCGCTTTAATACAAATGGGAATGTCAGCTGCTTCTATACGTTTAATACGTAAACGCACTACAGGTAGGTTTCAAAAAACAAACATTCACATTCACAGTTTTTTTCTTAGTCTTACGAATTCAATTCATATAGTGATTAATGACAATAATAATAATGATAATAAAAAATTTAGACAAAGTAAGTATGTAGTCAAAGTCTTTAAAAAATCTCGTTGTATCTTCATTATATTGTTAAGCGGCGATTGTCACACATGTGCATACATATAAATAATCCCTCAGAAATGCTTATATGAAAAAAAAGAATATAAAAACAATTTTTTATGTCTAAAATTTCCAATCTATGAATCAAATCAAACCACAAGAATACTTGAATTATTTTTACAAAAACATTTTGTATTTGCTTCTTATTCAAAACTTTAGGTGCATCACGTGGTTTTGCATTCGTCGAGTTTAATACGGTTGATGAAGCTGCACATTGGATGGATTTAACTCAGGTATCAACAAACAACAACAACAACAAAAAACGGTGACATAAAAGTTGATGGTTGTAAATTGGTGTTAATTGAAGTATGATGGGATATAAAGATCGGACAGTTGAATTCAGGGATTCTCAACCATTGCATCGTAACACGATGCCACTTCGTATATAGACTCCAATTCTCAAATGCTTTTAGATATTACTAAGGTAGAACGTTTCTTTTTTAAATTAAAATTGAAAACAATTGACGACGTAGATCCTCAAGAGACGTCGAACAAGTATGTACAAATTTCGAGATTCTCTTTGGATTAGTGGCGTGTCAGTGGGGCGACATGGGTGTACGTTTGTCCCAAATTGTCATTTGTGACTGATCAAATATTGGCAAATTGTTTAAAATGTTATCTAGTGCAATCCATTGAACAAAGCACATATACTCAAAGTGTCATATAGTTTAATTTTTTCTGTCATCACAATTCACTATTCGGATAAAAGATAAGCGAAGACGAGACGGACAGCCATGTCTGGCCAAACAGGTTTAGAGATTTTGTTTGATTGTTTCAATAAACCCTTCATTTCAATTTCTTAATTCTTCGGCGAGTAACTCGAAAATGGAAGCTACACGTGCCTTCAGACAAAAGTTGATTATCTTTATCTCACATCTTCTCTACGTCTGCCAGCGTTGTTTTCAGTTTAATCGGATTTGACGTGATGTTTTATTATTTACAAATTCATATTTAGCTCTGCCATATAGCGCCGATTAATACTGGGAGATGTGAAATCGAACCTGTGAACATACAATGCTAAACTTTTCCGAGTCCGCTTAATTCTGGTCGTTCGCTAATCAAAGATTCGCGAAGATTCAGATAGAAGATCAAAATTTCGTATATGTTTCTAGATCAATTCTAAAAATAATTAATTTTCAATGTATTAGGTGGTTGCATATATTTTGATAGTTTTTTCACTTAATAAAAAAAATTGTTGCAATATATATTAATCAATATATTTTCGGTCTTTTTCCTATTTTTCTGGCAACATGGCGATATCGTGTCGAAAGAACGATATTGATTTGGCAGCGATCAACTCATCGACTCCTTTCCGCACTTCTTCAGAATTTTCAAACTGCGTAACAAGCAGGCCACTCTGCGTCGATCCAAAAAAACGACAATCAGAAGGCTCCATGTCTTGTGAGTAGATTAGGTGTGCTTCAGCTTGCAACAGTATATCCTTGACAACTCTTGCGACGTGCAGCCGAGTAAGAGGATGACTTTGCGTTCTCTAATCGGTGCTGCTGGTTAATAGACATCTGCAGTAAGAGTTTCATCCGGTTTTAGCAGCTCTTGATACACTACACCTTGCTGATCCCATACGTACAGCAAAACTTTATGACCATAGATAGATATTCCGGTTCAATGTCAATGTGGATGGCGTTCCTGGACCAAACCAAGACTTTTTGCGCTTAGAATCGTAGTAGATTCGTTTTTCATCGCCCGTCACAATACACCACAACAAAGTCTTCTTTTTGCTGAAAGGGTTCGAAATGCCATGTACTGTCAATTCGTGTAATAGCCATTTTCCTTATTTTTGGATTCTTTACCTCGCATGTAAGCGTCTAGAAATAGTTGATCCATCAATTGCTAAGCTGTTCGAAATTTCGTTGACAGTTAGAGCTGGATTTTTATTCAAAAAGTCTTGCAGTTCATGATCCTTGGAGTTTTTCCTCCTTTCTTTTTTCCTCTAGGCCGTTCTTCGCCATTTTTTAAACGTTGAAACCGAAAACAACGATAGGGATATGAAGGAGCAGCATCACTATAAATTTCTAAAAATGCTCGATAGTTTTGTCAGCAGATTCCTTTATATCAAACAACAAACGTCAAATCAATGTTGAAAACTCAACTTTGAGCGTTCCATGATTAACGTCTCCATACACTGAATATCTCAATAATACTAAATTGAAAACTGTTATTTTAGGTAGACAAAGATGAAAACCATCGAATGTAATGGTTATGTACACTGGTGTTCCCATTTCTTTATAATTTTTAGAAGCCGTCTGTCAAAATGTATACAACAATCGAACATTTTCTTTTTTTTTGGAATGATGCTAATGTTATACCGGTAGGCTTATCGTTAATAAAAAGTTAATCACTTTAGTAGATAGGCATCATTGCAAAGCGTATATAAATGCATCTTATTCATTTCCAAGAAAGGAGAACGGCGAGGAAACTCGAAAAAACTGCATAACCTTGACGTGATGTTTTATATTCAAATAGTTTAGCCTAATTGGACTGTGAATTGTATTACGTCGTGAGTAAAAATGGTTGAGAAACCCTGGGATATTCGAACGAGATTGTTTGCAATGACCATTTTTAATTACTAATGTCAACTGAGAGAGTAGCCGACAATTAAGACTTAAAACGATTTCTGAAAGAACATTAAACAAACGAAAAGTGTTGATATCTCTGCTCTGATTGGATGCTTCATATTGTCAAACACCCAACTAAGTGAAACCATAACGCAAAAAAGCTCAAATGAAAAAAATCTGCATACAAAACGAATGTCCAGCAATCGGTGACTTGTGTAGTCTGTGGGATGTGTTCAAATAGTAGAGAAATTAATCAATTTCATTTCTCTCTTTCTTCTTTCCCTTTAGGGTTCACTACAGTTACAGGAAACTTGTCGAGCTACGTTACAGTACAGTCACTCGCGGGAACAGTCGGGCAAATCGAAAAGCCACGCTACCGATTGGTATTGCGGCAAGGTAAGTTTAATAAAAGACTGTACCGATACAATTAGAACATAGAACCTCCAATGTGCGAACACGTGAGATGGTAAAAATCTGTATCTTCTTTTAGTGCGGCGTTTTTAATTTTAAAAGACGTGACAATTGCTTCAAATGTTGTGCATCACGTGAAGAGAGCGAACGCGGCGGAGAAGGTAGCGATGAAGTTAGCAACATCCTCACGAAAAGTATAACAATTTGAAAAATTTATTCATATTTAAAAACATTTTTTATTAAACATTTTTCTATTAAACATTTAAATTTTCATATATGTTAATCAATCAATGATCGTCGTTCACTTGTTCACTTCATCAACGCAGAAATAATGCTACGTAATTTGGATGTGCTAACCAACGAGGAAGGAGTTTTAACTGCCATACAGTTGCATGCTCCCGAATTGGCTAAACGGATTAGCAAAGTCCTAATAAGTCGTGATGCACTCACGCAAACATCCAGAGGAATATGTTATTTGCACTTTGAGACTCTCGTGGATTCAATGAGCCTTCATAATGCTCTAAGTACGTTAGAACCACCGCTGAAAATAGACAATAGAGAAAGTAAGTGCAAAACAATATATTTCTAAAAAGAGAGAAGTATTTATATTCTTTTTAAATGTCGCAGTTATAATAACATATTGCATTGATCATGAAAATCGCCAAATTGTACCTAAGAAGGGAGGAGACTCGTCTATAACAGCGAACATGTCTTCTAGCAGTAACTCAGCAAATGCTAGTGGTCTTATGGGTCCTTTGACGGCAGCTGAAATGGCGGCTTCCACTTCAGGAGGTTCAGTTGTGGGCGGTCAATATACCGTTGCCGATGTTCCACGCTTGGCCGAATATAGTGCTTCCGTTTACGCTACTACTCCAGCTGAACATGCTCATTATTTGCAATATTATACAGAATATTATATGTCAGAAATTAGCAAAGGTTCGTTCGGCAATTTACCCACAGATGCTCAAATGACTGAGGCCAATTCTGGAGCAGCTGTCGCTCTATCTGCTATCCAGCGGAAGCAAAAGAAAATGAATAGTATTGAAACTACTGCCACAGCTGCGGCGGCGGCTGCTGCTAGCGCGGCAGCAGCTGTAAAAGCTTCACTAGCAGCCCGTTCTGTTGTAACACCTAGAGGAAATGATGGAAAAGTTTATCGTAAGTTAATCAATAAAATTGCATACACTTTCAGTCAGATAATAAGAAATTCTTGTTAAATTAGCAACGCCCATGATTTGCGCAAAGACTCATTCACTCGTTATACCTACCATATCCCATCGAATCAATTTAAATTAATAATTTTATGCATCACTATGTAGATAATTAGTTGTAAGCATTAAAAATTTTGCTTATTAATTTCATTTTTTATACCCTACGGCTCTTATAGTAGGAGCGTACATTAAGTTTTGACGGATGTATACAACACCCAGAATGAGTTGAAATCATTTTTTGAGTCGATCTAAGCTTGTCTGTCCGTCTTATATATTTTTATTTTCAATCTATAGGCCGCAGTTTATGAAATATTAATTTGGGGAAAAAGAAATCCATTATTTTTATATGAACTTTAGGACTTTATTTAACATGCTTCGGATTGTCCGATTTGGGTCAAATATGCACCGTTTTGTTGTATGATTTGTTGCCATTTTAAAGGTAACTTCAAAATGCCTCTCTCATAGAAGTCCTGGTCTCTATTTGCAAAAAATTCTAGTAGTCGATTTTCACAATCCTCCCTAGATTCCAATTTTTTATCATTAAAGAAATTTTGCAATGCAAGAAAAAGATGATAATCGCTTGGTGCCAAGTCCGGACTGTATGGCGGATGCATTAAAATTTCCCAACCAAGCTCCCGAAGTTTCTGGCGAGTCACTGTAGATGTGTGTGGCCTAGCGTTGTCCTGGTGGAACACGACACCTCTCCTGTTTGCCAATTCTGGCCGTTTCTGGTCAATCGCTATCTTCAAACGGTCCAGTTGTTGACAGTAGAGATCAGAATTTAGCGTTTGGCCATATGGAAGTAACTCATAATAAATAATCCCCTTCCGGTCCCACCAAATGCATAGCAAAACCTTCCTGGCCGTTTGAGGTGCTTCACCGCTCTTTGACCACGATCGTTTTCGCACAGGGTTATCGTATGTGATCCATTTCTCATCCGCAGTCACCATCCGTTTAAGAAATGGGTCTATCTCATTCCGTTTGGCCAAGGCTTCGCAGATGGAAATTCGATCCATCATGTTTTTCTCTGTTAATTGGTGTAGCACCCAAACATCGAGCTTCTTTTTGAATCCAGCTTTGTGTAAATGGTTTAAAACTGTTTTATGGTCGATTTTTAGCTCCTGGGCGATGTTACGACTGCTAACATGCCGGTCAACTTCGATCATTTCTCCGATTTTATCGACATTTTCGACGACCGGCCTGTACCTGTGCGAGGTGCATCTTTAACATCAAAAATTCCTGAACGGAATCTACGAAACCAAAATTGCACATAACTGGCTGTTACAGTATCGCAACCATAAACAATATTCACAATTTTAGCCGCCTGGCTTGCATTTTCGCCTTTGTCAAAGAAAAACTGTCAAATGTACCGAATTTTCTCTTTGTTCACTTCCATTTTTAACACGCTCTAACTCACAACTGAATGCACCAAACAAAAAACAGCAAAAGAATTTTTTTTACTGCGAAATGCACAGTATGTAAGTGTACAGTATCGGAAATTGTTTGATCGTTACTTTACGAGAAATCTATCAGTGCAGCCATCTACCGAAAAAATAATGGATTTCTTTTTCCCCAAACTAATATTCTGATGAAATTTGGCATACTGATGTATTTTCGCTCAAGGACGAACGCTTTTGAAAATGCTTCGAATTGCATCAATTTTTGAACTGCTTCTTATGTAATGCCTTATTTTGAAAAGTCGTTGTTTGAGTAAGTGTAAAGTGTTGTAGGGTATGTAACGAGCCGTGGCCACTATTGTGCTTCTACTTCTTTCTAGTATACAATGCTCCAATGTTTAAATATTATAAGAGCATTCCACATGAATATATGACCTTTCAAAGTTACTAAAAATAAATAGCAATTTTCAAAATTATTTCGGTGTCTTTACACTAACAAGAGACGAAACAACGTAACTAAAAACGAACAAGACTGTGTGTAAATTAAGGCATCTCTCACTGGTAATAATTTATCGGCATGAATAGAGTTAAACACAATACTTTTGATTTTTTATCAAAGTTCACGAAATAGCAAATTGGCGTCAATAAAATCATTTCCCTTCCCAGTTTTGCTTTCAAGGTTTATTAAAAAGGGGGTATTTTCAAATTTTTGTAGCCACTCCCGATGTATCCTTGTACCAATATGATGAGACGTCCGGTTATTATTATGATCCTACAACAGGTCTTTATTACGATGCCCATTCTCAATATTATTACAATAATGAGACAGGAGCCTACCTATATTGGGATCAACGGAAGAGCACGTATGTCTTGGCAACCCCTGCAGCAGCAGCAGCCACCGTTCAAGATGTTGTAAAACAAGAAACTAACGATGAAGCGAAAGCTTCTTCTCCCTCTACAAATAATACTGATGATGACTTAAATAAAAAAGAGAAGAAAGATGTTCATAAACATGATAAGGTAAAAGTCGCTAAAAAGATTGTGAAAGACATGGAAAAGTGGGCAAAGCAGCTGAATCAGAAAAAAGATTATACTGCTGTAGCTACACCCCAACCAATACTTGCTTCGAAAAATGATGATGTCTTGAAGATCTCTTCTACGAGTGGCGCCTCCACTTCCGCTAGCAGCGGTTACGCAGACGTTGGTTTTTCCATTTTGGAAAAGAAAAGCACAAAATTAGCTGGTAATTTTATGTCACCAGTACATGAAGCCGTTAATAATAAAATTATACCAGCTTATGGTTCAGATTCAGAAGAAGATAATAACCTGCCAGCCGGACCGAAATCAAACTCTACTGCTTCAGCGGACACGGCTAGCGAAAAAGATTATGTAGACTTTCAAAAACTTACCTGTTTATTATGTAAAAGAGCTTTTCAGTCTTTGGATATTTTACAAAAACATTTGAAAATGTCAAATTTACATAAAGAGAATTTGGCCAAACACAATATGGAACGTGGCTTTAACCGAACACAATCTGAGCCTGATTCTTTGGCGGCTGCTTTATCGTAAGCGTATAATGACATCTGGAAAGGAGTATGCACTTTTTAGTATTAATTATTTGTAGATACCGCGACCGAGCTAAGGAAAGACGACAAAAATATGGTGAAAGTGATCCACCACCACCCAATCGCAGTCGCGAACGTTTCGAAACCGAAATATCAAAAATGAGTTCGCGAAGCTCCGAAACTACACCTGCTTTGCCAATCGGTTCTAATAATGTTGGTAACCGTTTATTACAGAAAATGGGCTGGTGCGAAGGGCAAGGGCTAGGACGTAAAAATCAAGGACGTACTAGTATTATTGAAGTGAGTTTTTTTTAGAATTGTATTCCCTTGCTGTATTATTGATTTCTGTTTGTTGCTTCGTTTATTAATTTTTGCAAAAGGCGGATGCACGTAATAGCACAGCCGGTTTAGGTACAAAAGGTGGCGGCATTGGCCCTGGTGACGACTACAAAACGTATATTAAGAAAATGATGAAGTCACGCTATGAATCTGTGTGATGTTCTATATAGCATGTTTACAAATGGTTGAGTTATTCTCTAAGAATGAGATTTTTAGTTGTAGATATATATATATATTTTTTTTTAATTCCCTTTTTACGTATATAGAACGTAAATTTCTTCCTTTCCAGTCTTTTCTAGTACATTTCTAAATAATTTTTAACATCAGAAAATATTTCACAATAAACTATTAAGAACAACACTAATTTTTTTTTCTTCATTTGGAAAAGTACTTTTTAAGCTATTTGCAACTGTAACATTTACCACATGAAAGTCTGTCCAACGTAGTTTCTTCGAGCTATAAATAGATGTAGTTTTGTGATAAATAAATGAAATTTCTTTCCTGACTAATTCAAAGGAAACCTCAGCTAAATCTTCGAATGCATAGTGCATGTGCGGTAATATCCGAATCGTTAATAACCATGACGGAGATTGTATGATCCCATAACATCGACTATGAAACTATATATTCTCGATGACATCATTTGCGTGGTCAACGGGTAGAGTGTTAAAGTTTGTTCTAACTAAACGAAACTATCCCTCAGAAATATGTAGTATGAAGAAATTCGAAGAAGTTCGTACCTGCAGTATTCCATCGTTCTTGCTGTTATTAGCAGATATTACTTTTTCCGATTAGTACTAGTTTCAATAGATTAATGTTTGCTTGAACTATGCTTCGAATCTTATGATGATGCCCAAATATGAGTTCGTTTACGATTCGCATTAGAAGACGAGGTTTTTTCCGAAATAGAATTCGAAGATTGCCTTGTAGTGTGACCGCATATCGGTATATGAATTCCACTGTGAAGTGTATCATGCAAATTCAGCATAATTCTTTTTACTAAAAGAAAAATAAAATTTAGGTCACACTCCAATGCCAGGCACCCTCAGAACTCATGTGTAAATAGCCAAGCAAAATTGGATAAAGAACTTGTTTCCAAGAACTTGTTTTCACACCACTGAATTAAGCGTATCAATCCGCTATATATTTAAAATGCATTCCATCCGCCTAGTTAGGGACTATCTCGTGCCGAGCACTATTAGCATTTGCAAAGTGATAGAAGACTTGGCGTTCTCAGGGCGAGCAGCTTAGGGTTACACACCAGCGACACCTTTTGTAAGAAAAGTCTCAAAGGGAATCTTTCCAACCATAAGAGCATATGAAAATATGAAAGATACGATCCGTCTTCTGAGGATATCAAAGAATATCAACACATACTGCAACCATTTATTTTTTCATTTTACAGCTTGAAAGATAGGAAAAAGTTGCAGTTATCGATGGACAATACTTTGAATAAAGTACATAATAAAATTTTAGCCCGCTATCAAAGCAAAAGCTAAATAAATTGGTGCGATTGTAAAATTGCATGAAGTGAAGTTCGAATTGCTGCCCAATCTCAGATATGGCTTTCAGGGACTATTAGTTGTATGCAGAACACAAAAGCTTGCTGCCAGCAAAAAGGTTTGAGTGAAATGATAGGGTCATTGAAGGAATGCTTACTGAAATGGCGTAGTAGTGTTAGAGAAACTTTTAAAATAAACCCATTGGTGAATAAGGGCAGTAATTAAAAGAGTAAAAAATTACTTAGTGGTCGAATTTATAGCCTAACTGTTAATTTTTTTGTGATTGAAATTGGTTTATGATAGTAATTAAATGAACAAAATGGAAATGGACCTCATTAGAACTACATGGAAGGGAAAATCTAACCTTCCAATGTGAGGGTTTTCATGACAATTATTGTTTTGCGTGAAAATAATTCGTGCCGTTTGGAGCAATAACTGTACAAGGCGAAGTGGTGTAAGATATTGGTGTAATAGTCGGCGTTGCCGGTTCTTATTTGTTCTTACTTATTATTAACGGAAATATAAGACTGGTTGTTGCACCTTTACCCGCGGTAATGGGCGAGACAAACAGGAGGACTCTGAAGGTGACATGCATACATGTGAATTTAAATATTGCACCATAAAAGTACAGTAACGAACTATAAAGCTTACGAGCAAATATTTCACTACATAAATAGGTCGGTTTTAACCCCCTTAACCCCTCCTTCAATGTAACATGCAGCCATATTAATTCGATTAACTACACGCAATAATACAAAACAGCTATGTTTTCACCTAACTTCATTAATCGATTTTAGCTGATTTTAAAACTTAAACTAAGGGAAAGCGGAAAAGGAAAAAGATCTTGCGTTATTATGCAAGATTCCAAGTTGATAGTGACTATTTTAACAGGCAAACAAATGAAGAGATAATTCTTATCTCTCTCAAGAATACACAAGCCAAATGAAAATCCTTTTGTGTGTTGTGCAAATATCGTCTTGGCTTTTCTTTTTATATATAGATTGAAAAGAGCAAAGAGTAATACAAAATTTAATGTAAGCAGCAAAGCTTTTATCCCATTATACGAAGCTCTTACTTTCATTAATTCAATACTAAGAGTCAATCAGTAGAAACAGCTCATTGATCTCTACATTAGAGATGTATTAATATATTATTATTATTTTTGTATTTTTATATATATATATATATATATATATATATATTTTTTTTTTTACAAGCAATTAAAGAGTGTTTTCGTATTATTGGATTTATCTTGTATGTGCGTCTCAGAATGGTGCGCGCTCTCTAACCGAACGAACGTGTAATGATCGGTACGTAAGTTTTTCTAAAAAATTTTATATTATATTCGCCACCTTATAAAAGAGAAAAAAAAAAAAAATAAAAAAAACAAAAAATTAATGAAATTTGTATAAATTTTTTATACATCAATGAAAGTGTATTTAGCGTGCTTACGTGTAAGTGTGTTTGTGTTATAAGAAATATTATAAACTTTTATCGTTGAGTTATTATGTTAAACGTATGAACGTGTGCGCATCTAACAGTTAATCAAGCGAAGTAAGAATACATGAAATATTTTTTTAAAAAATTTTTCATTTTTTGTAGAAGAAAAAATTAATGTTATTTTCGCGTTTGAAAGAAAAAAAAAAAACGACTAATTTATCATACCTCATAACTTATATGGGTAATAGATAAAAAAAAAATATATAAAAATTTTGTTTACTATGACCAGTAGAAGTAGCAAAAACAGTAAAACACATGTTAAACAAGTGTATGCAAGTTGAAGAGTATGAACTTCTCTGAAAGGTAATAGAGTTAAAGAAAGAGTGCGGACACGGGTTTCTCTTTTCTTTTTTTTTATTACCATTTCTTTAGGAGGATTTTTGGTTGTTTTATTTCAGTATTTTTTTTTTTTTGTTTTGTTTAGAGGCCATAGTAGGCATATCTCTACAAAAAGTTTCAATAAATAAATAAATAAGAAAAAAAAAGGAAAAAGAAATAAACCGAAAATAAATTGTGAACGTCATTATGTCTGCCATATGTGATACGATACGTAAAAGAAATATATACAAAACAGGCGTAAGCGTAATGTTGCATGAATAGATTAGCAAGATATGGAAATGAAATTTAGAGTAAAATCATGAATATTATGTGAGAAAAAAAAAAGATGAAAAATTTTTTCTTTTAACAGTGAAAAACGAATCTTTAATTCAATGAATTAATAAATTATTTCGTTCGTTTGTTTAAGTTTCATTTTTTGATTTTTAAAGAATTCTATCTATGGAAGAGCATCATGATCATTAAGTTTTAATATGTTAGAAATCATTTTTGTTTAGTTTAAAATAAAATAAATAAAAAAATTATTTTGGCCTCATACAATGAATCTTTAATAATCACTACCTAAATGAAATTCATGGCCATAACATTGTCCCTCTTGTGTTAGGCTTCATATATTCTCAATTACGGAATAATACTTATTGCTGGCCGTGCTATTGACTTGGAATGTTGGGTCGTTATCGTTTTTTGGTGATACGTTTCTCGATACGATCTCTGCTACAGATTCTAAATTTATTGGGGTAGATAGATTTTTTTACATTCTAAGCAGAGTCATCGTTAACTAAGAACATATCAATCATGTACTTCGACTTTCTGTACGAGATGATTTTCCCACATAGCGGACGAACGATTGAATAGATATCCGAACTTATATTGACATTGGTGCTCGATCTCACCCTAATCAAGATGACATATGTTTTCTTCATAGGAGCCTGGTAACCGTTTCTTTTGAAGTTACGTCGCGCTATATGTTGTAAATCCAAAATTTCCAATTTAATTTTTAAACAAGATACTTCTTCTTAATGTTAGCAACTTATCTACACTTTTTTTTTTTTTTTTAAATAAGAACACGCTTTCGATAACGCCTTATCAAGGTTTATGTATATGTAAATTATTCGATTTTCCCCTTTGGAATTAGGTGACACTCGACTAATATCACCAAATTATATTTCTGGAGACAATTAGCAGCCAGTCTTCAAGCACATGTGTTCTCTTTTTGTTGTAATATGACCAATCATTTTAGTCAGAAAATAGACAATTCCATTACTAAATATTATCTTAATCTTAGCCCAACCGTGAGCGCGCTAAAAATAGCTGAGTATATTTTCCCCTTTTGCCCTAGTTGTTGTTCTTGGTAATGTTCTTCAATGATGATTTTGTTTACTTGGAGAAACTCACAACGCTGTACCTATATGTCGTTGATGCTAATGATTTGTGTAGCCTGAATCAATTTGCATTTCAAATATTGTATCGTGTCCCTTTTTCTTAACTTCCCTATGGCCCAACTTTCGTCTTTCTTTTATGATCAAGTAGATTTTAAGCATCTATTTTCTACGTAAATGTAAGGAGAGGCTTTTAATGGCAGATTAAGAACAGCGCAAAATTGATTCGATAGCAAGTAAGTAAAGAAAATTATGTTCGTCTAATTATGGTTGTCCAGCCCTTTAATCAAATAAAATACTTCAAGCAAACTTTAACATTATTATTGGGTTGAGCGCAAACCTCTTTGCACAGAACATATACAGATTTTTTTTACCACATGACCAACCGTCTTCGGGCATGCCATATTCGTGTAACACGTCGCAACAACCGTCAGAAAGAAGTGAGGAAGCAAGAGAAAGGGATAGGAAGGTTTTGGTCGCTGCCTACTGGCTGTGTGCCCAATCGGTAAGCATTGTGCTCTTATCGATTAAGCATTCATTATAGCTACAATGAAAATAAAATCTACCGCGGACTTGCGATTTTTATCTACTCGAATCTAATGCACACATATGAGGCATGCCTCTGATGGACATACGTATCGAA